TTTACATGACATGTCATTAAGTATTATTTTATTTAGAAGAGAAAAGATGATTGTGCATGAATTATGAGCTAAGGTAGTTATTAACGAGAAGAGAATGTTATTATATATTGACACGTGTGAAGTAGTAAAGATGTGCCCCACGTTTTTCTAGTTCACCTGTCCTATTTGGTTATCAAGACCCCCGGAAAGTTATTTCATACTTTTTAAAGCGCATAAAAACGTTATTTTTAGATTAATTTTTTAATCTGCTTTAGTTATTTTGTTCTTTTTCGTTTTCGTATGTACGTATCTATATATTTAAATGTACAATGTTATATAATGAATATACATATATTTTACGTATAAATAATATCATTAAAATATCATACAATAAAATCCGTCCACTTCGTCTGTAACCGGTTATTACATTAGAAAAGGCTGCATGGTCAGAAGGATTATCATAAGAATTAGTAATCAATTTAAAAGCTTATAATTTTAGATTTATTACTGTATAAATTATCATAAAAGTTGAATAAAAGTTGTAAGAAAATGCAAAAAAGTGTAATGATGGGAACGGGTTTGATCCTGGTACCGCTCATATCTGAGCACCGTCCACGCCCAAACGCACCACGCATAATTTTTTCCTTGCGGGTGAGAAATAAGTTTTTTTGAATTGCAAGATTCCACCCGGAACGACAGACAAAAAATCGACCCCATTTTAACCCCCTTAGAGCCGGAATTTTCAACCTTTTGTGGATTAATAATGCATTGTCATCGAATTGTGAGCTACCCTGAAAGTTTCAGCTGGATAGCTAATCGAGAAGTGCTCAAAATTTGAGTTGCAAGATTCCACCCGGAACGACAAACAAGATTGTGAGTTCATAAAAACGTTATAAAAAAAAAGTATAGAGAGAGGCCAATTTTACCTCCTGAATAAGTTGTGTATGTTATTGTAACTTCAAATTCACGACTCTAATATTATTTTGACAGTTCTTTACCATTCTTATTCTGTATTAAATTAGCAAAACATTTGAAACGTTTTTATAAAGCGAGTTTATAAATGATTTAAGAAAACCTTTGAAATGCCAGTTCAGATAGATTAGAGTAGGTAAGTAATTTAAAGGGTTTGTATGATCTAAATCCTATAAGACGTACCGTTAGCCAACCGTTGCTAAGATTATTTAGAATACATTTAAAAAAAAATAATAATAGGTGACATACCTTGTTATTTTCTTGTACACGAATCGCATTGGGCTAAAAAAACGTACACAAATTGTTAAAAATGGAATGTATATATTACTAGCAAACTTTTAAAATCATTTCCGTTTTGTGTTAATAGACGTGCTCGATCTGCTACAGTATATCAATACTTTATACTTACTGGTACTCAGTGTTCATGTACAAAGTCGTTCAAATGTTCTTCATCGCGAATCTGCAGCATACCTATTTTTATATTCGTATATTGGGGCTGCTCATGGACGGTTTCTGCAACTTTTGTTTGAATTACAGATGTGCTAAAATATAAAATAACATAATTATTAAAAAATTATCAAAACAAAATATTCAAATTTTACTATAGTCAAACATTTTGATATAATATTAACTAGAAAGTGTCCAAATAAAAATAACAAAAGCTTATTTGTTCTAATTTTAAAATACATTATTTTCAATCAACCAGTTTGATAAGTATCTCGACTACGTCATTCTAATTCCCGAGAAGTTGTTTAAGTTCTGCATTTATACTAGCTTTTTATAATATATTTTGATATCCTACCGTGGGTTGAAGTTGGTGCCGTAAATTTCTGCTGGGTTTCTATTATTTGGCAAAACCGTTTTTATACCAGAAATCTCGAATTCCGCATCATCTACGAAGCAACCCGAAGCCTCTATTGCGGCAATTGCTGAAGATGTTTCTGTTCTCGATTTTGTAAAATCACTAACCAATACTTTTAGACCCTCGCCTTGCAATCTATCAAAATGCCTTAAAATTGCAGGGATATTGGCGTTGACGGATCCATTTGTTAATGATTGAAAATTGCCAACAAAACTGTCGTCTTGTCGTATGCACTTGCCCACCATGGAATTGTCGAACAAGCGGACAGCTTCATTGAAAACACAAATAAGTTCATTAAGAGTGTCGACAATCGGTTGGTAATATTCGTTTGTAAACTTTGTACTCATTACATCAGTATAGACTTTGTACTTGATTTTTAAACCGATCACCTTTTGAATTATTTCTTCCCAAAAAAGGTGTATATTCTCTTTTGCTGTACCATCAAATGTGTGTTCGTGAAAAACTTGATAGCTGTCATTAATTTTAAAATCAAAGTCCAAGTAATATTTCCCAAAATTAATAAATTTGTGCATGGATTTAAAATCCAAATTTCTAAATATTGTTTCACGATCGAAATCCGTTCCATATAATTCCGTATGTCGTATGGCTGCCCAAGTGTTCGTTTTGAACTCCAACAAGTCCTGGACAATCAAAAAAGAGATGAAGCTCGCGTACTTCGTTAACATGCACTCATAAGCCAATTTGATTATGTCGCGGATCTCTAGAAATGCCGCCTCAGAACTGTTGTCAGCATTTTGTTTAAAGTTGCGCACAGCGTTCCTAACGTCAAAAGTGATTTCTTCGCCGTTGGGACGTTTGTAAGAAACAGTTTCGCCCATTGCTGTGTTCCATTCGTCAATGGGAGTTTCATTGTTCAAAACTCGTTTTAGTCCGTCCAAATCTAAATTTTCAATCTTTGACAATATGCCATATGCGCCGGAAAAACACAAAAGAATCACACTAAAATGACTAATCATATTGTTAATGTTTTGCTGACGTTGAATACTTGCTGTGTAGTTCAAGAAAAACTAAAAGGTTTTGGATCGTCGGTTAAGCCTGTAACGTTTTATGAATACCTATGACAAAAAATGGTGTAGACACAGCAGTTGGTTTATGTTCGCGTATTAGTTGTTTATCTTTCTTGCGTGTACATTTTCAAAGGAATGAAAAACCCAATTATTTTGGGTTTGCCTTAAGTCAGCATTTTGTGTTTTAAGCAAAATATCTTTATTCTTCAATGATGAGCACAATTTTTATAAAGGTTTTATACAAAAATGTAATGACTAGATTTCACAATTTCCCCAGTGAATATAGTCTTCATAGCGTTAAGCTATCAAGATCTATATTTTTTAATTGTTTTGTCAGCCGACGCAGATGTATAGAAAAAATATTGTTGTTGAAAGTCAAAAAATTACAGAAAAAAAGCCAGTATAGTACGGTAGTATGTATGGTCGAGGCATCAAGGGGGGGGCATCATATTAAAGAGGAAGGTGGAGGTTCACAGGTCAAAGGAATTTTTTTAACTGTAATTGATAAACGAAGTACAAAAAAAAAACGATTGGAGTTAGCCCTCTCTCGGTTTTTTGTGAAAAGTCACACTGCATGTCTGTTATAAAGAAAATAATGTTTTCAAAATTTTTTGGATTATTTGGGCCATTGTCGTAAAATGTATTTTCAGCTTATTTTTTGACACTTATTTTTTAATATTTTTTTCATGGAATTTACGGTCATCAACAGAAACATGATAAAAAATTAGTTCTTCAATTCATAGTTTCTTACCGATACCCGTATGTAGATACCAAATTTTACAGTTCACCCGATAAATATATTTTGTAGCATTATCCTACCAAGAGGAATATTTTTTTATTTGTTTTGTCAGCCGTCGCACATGTATTGAAAGTATAGTTCAATAACAGTCAACAAATACCATCGGCTGTATGTCTCTTTATAAAAAATTTCACTGTTTTCCACAACCGTTACTTTAGGTAATATAATTATGGAAAATTGTTCTAAACTATTATTTATTCGAAAACTTCATCAAATGTTACATATTTAACAATTTAAGTTTCAAAAGTCGCTTGCACTAATAAAAAAGTACAAAAAAAAAATCAAGCTCTTCTAGTTCGGTCAGATCACAAAGGGAAAATAGCATAATAGTGGGGAGAAGCTCATAGGTCTATGGAATTTATTTTTAACTAATAGCTCCGATATTCAAAAACAAATTATTAGAAAATACATTCTTATGTAAAATAACCTCAGCTTTCTAAAAAAATATTTGGTTAATTTTTCGAGTAACAGAAAGTCGTTAATATTGAGTTAATAAATATGAAAAGTTGGTTCTTTCGCGTTTCCCAAATTTTGAGAACTTTTCTAAAATTATTTCTGAAAGCTGATTTAATTTTGCATAAGATGTGAAAATTTCAAATTATGTTCTTCTTAAAAACGCTTAGAAATATAATAAAGGAGGTGAAATTTGTATTTATTCGTCGATAAACTATCTTATTTCTACACATAGTAATTTCAACTATTTTGAATTATAATTGTATATACATTCTTATAGGCACCCTTCTGTCACACAACATACCTTACGCGACGCCCCTACCCACCAATTCATCCATCAAGTCAGCATTTTGTGTTTTATGCAAAATATCTTCATAGCCGAGTATAACTTTTATAATGGTTTCATAAAGAATTATAGGTACCAAATTTCACAATTCACCCGTAAAATATATTTTGTAGTGTTAAGCTACCAAGACGAATGTTTTTTTATTTGTATTGTCAGCCGTCGCAGATGTATCGAAACTATATTTTTTAAAGGTCATGGGCATAGGTTTTAAGAGCCAATTTATTCGTCATGTTTGGGGAGATAGAAATTGGAAGCAGTAAGAATAGTAGGGTAGGTAAATGGTTCAATACATTGTACATACCATACCAAAGTTTAGTAAAGCATTATTGAGTAATAAATAAGTTGGCACGACAAGGTCTCACAAACTAACCAATCGCTGATTTAGGCGTAGTAATATATTTGAAAACTACTTAAAACCAATGCCAAACACTTTAAATAAAACTTTCAACATTTAAGAGTTGAAACTCCTAAAATACATGCTTTTTATTGCGCCTGTGTTGTTTTAACAGACAACCGTTGTTAAGGTTATTTTGGAAAATTATTAAAAACAATAACAAAATATTATAATTTGCAAAGTAGGTTTATTGTACAATAGTTACTGTAATAAATGTTAACATTAGATTATATATGTGATTATTATTTTAAATATATGTTTTTGATATCAGATCCCATTTTCATCGTGTTGGTCTTTAGGGTCTAAAAAATTATAAAAAATTGATATAATTTTGGTTATTGGTTGTTAATGTATATTTTATTAGCAATCCTTCTTATTATTTTTACATTACGGCATAACTTTTCTATAGCTAACATAAAAATCGTAGTTCATTAAAAGAATTCTATACTCCGGTCCATGAGAGAATGTCCGTGAAGAACTCATAACTTATACAAGTCATGCATAAGCAGTATCATAGCTAAAAAGTTTAGAGAGAGGCCGATAATTATTCCTGAATAAGTTGTGTATGTTATTGTAGCTTGAAATTCACGACCTTACGATTATCTTGACAGTACTTTACCATTCTCATTGTGTATTAAGGTAGCAAAACATTTGAAACGTTTGTACTAAGCGAGTTTATGGATAAAATGATTTAAGAAAACCTTTGAAATGCCAGTAAAGATAGATTATTGTAGTTAAGTAATTTGAATGGGTTTGAATGATCTAAGTTCTATAAGACGTACCGTTCGCCAACCATTGTTAAGATGATTTTGAAAACATTTTAAGCAAAAATAATAATAGGTGGCATACCTTATTAAATTCTTGTCCACGAATCGCATTGGTCTCAGTTGGGCTGAAAAAATGTACACAAATTGTTAAAAATTGAAATGAGTTTGGTTTTTCTTTTGTTTTATGATGACCACGTCATCAATATAGGTAAATTTATAAAAATAAATATGGGCAGTGCTTCTGACGACTCGAGACTGATTACTAAACAATTTAAATAACTTAATGCTTAGTTGCAAAATTAAACACAATATAAATGACATTTAAATTCAATAATATTTCGTCAGTCGACTTTACCGTAACCACATGTCATCAGTCAAGAGTACTCGGTTGTCGCTGTCCGTCTACAAGGTTTAAGTTCGAGAGTTCGTTCATTTAACACCTAGTAGTCTATCCTCTTTCCTTGTGCACGTGTCTCGCGATTCGTTCGCACCTTGTACCTATCCTTTCTCAATCTCTAATTCTTTTTAATCCAGTGTAAACAACGGCTCTTCGACATCCACGAAGAACCCGGACGGCAATCCGTTATACTCTAGTGCTCTGGCAAGTGCCAGTTTTAGTTCACCACCAGTGTATACATCAAGTCTAGAGTGTCTAATCCTTTCTTTTTGTTTTACGACACATTGTTTCTGGTAAAAACTAAAATTAATAAGAATAAAAAAGACAATAAGAAAGTTACAAAGAAGGAAGTTTGCTAGTAAAATATACATATATATTGTATATTTTACTAGCAAACTTCCTTCTTTGTATCTTTCTTATTGTTTTTTTATTCTTATTAACTTTATTCTCATTATATTAGGACAGAACTTTTCTGTAGCTAACATAGAAGCCAATACTTTAACATTTCCGTTCTGAGTAAATAGACATGCTCGATCTGTTACGGAATGTCAATACTTTATACTTACATTTCTTCTGAGTTCACGTTAAAAGTCGTTTAAACGTGCTGCATCTCGAATCTGCAGCAAACCTATTGCTATATCATAATCTTGCACTTCATGGTCACTTTCTACAACTTTCGTTTTAAATACGGATGGGCTAAAATATAATAATAGTATAATTATTGAAAATTATCAAAATAAAATATATGAATTTTACTATAGTCAAACATTTTGAAATAATATCAACTAGAATGTGTCCAAATAAAAATAACAAAAGGTGTTCTAATTTTAGAAGATAAAGGTTTTCGACTAACTTAGATAATGATATGTCTAAATGAATATTTAGGTAACGTTTTATTCAAAGGCCCAATCAATTATCTTGGATTGTCTACTCCTAGTAATTAATAGTATTTTCCAATGTACCCGACTATAATTAATAGTTTTTGACCTTCTATTCTCCATTCTTTAGCTACACTTCCTAATCCCGATCTTCTTCTACCAGCTTGATAAGTGTCTCGACTATATAATTTTACTTTCAGGAAATTTTATTGTGTTCTGCATTTATACTAGTATGTAATAATATATTTTGATATCATACCATGCGTTGAAGTTAGTGCCATAAATGTCCGCTGGATTTCTATTATTTGGCAAAACCGTTTTTATACCAGAAATCTCGAATTCGGCATCCTCTACGAAGCAACCAGAAGCCTCTATTGCGGCAATTGCGGACGATGTTTCCGTTCTCGATTGTGTAAAATCACTAACCAACACCTTTCGATTATCGCCTTGCAATCCATCAAAGTGCTTTAAAACTAAAGGAATTTTGGCGTTGATGAATCCCTTTTTTAATGATCGAAAATTACCCACAAAACTGTCGTCTTGTCTTATGCACTTGCCCACGATAGAATTGTCGAACAAGCGGACAGTTTCATTGAGAACACAAATAAGTTCATTGAGAGTGTCAACAAGCGGTTGGTAATATTCGTTTGTAAATTTCGTACGCATTACATCGGTATAGAGTTTGTACTTGATTTTTAAACCGATCGTCTTTAGAATGATTTCTTCCCAAATAAGGTGGATATTCTTCTGTGCGGATCCATAAAATGTGTGATTGTTGAAATATTTAAAGCTGCCATTAATTTTAAAATCAAAGTCCAAGTAAGATTTCCCAAGATTATGGACTCCGTGCATAAGTTTAAAATGTGAATTATTAAATATGTTGTTAAGATCGAAATCCGGCTCATTTAGTTGCGTATCTCGTATGGCTGCCAAAGTGTTCTTTTTGAACTCCAACAAGTCCTGAACAATCAAAAAAGTGGTGAAACTCGCGTATTTCGTTAACGTGCACTCATAAGCCAATTTGATTATGTCGCGGATCTCTAAAAATTCCGCCTCAGAACTGTTGTCAGCATTTTGCTTAAAGTTGCGCACAGCCTCCCTAACGTTAACAATGATTTCTTCGCCGTTGGGACGTTTGTAAGATACAGTTTCGCCCATTGCTGTGTTCCATTCGTCAATGGGAGTTTCATTGTTCAAAACTCGTTTTAGTCCTTCCAAATCTAAATTGTCAATCTTTGACAATATGCCATATGCGCCGGAAAAACACAAAAGAATCACACTAAAATGACTAATCATATTGTTAATGTTTTACTGACGTTGAATACTTGCTGTAGCCCAAGAAAAACTAAAAGGTTTTGGATCGTCGGTTTAGCCTGTAACGTTTTCTGAATATCTATGACAAAAAATGGTGTAGACACAGCAGTTGGTTTATGTTCGCGTATTAGTTGTTTATCTTTCTTGCGTGTACATTTTCAAAGGAATGAAAAACCCAATTATATTGGGTGTGCCTTAAGTCAGCATTTTGTGTTTCAAGCAAAATACCTTTATTCTTCAATGCTGAGCACAACTATTATAAAGGTTTTATACAAAAATGTAGGAAATAGATTTCACAATTTTTCAAGTGAATATAGATTTTCATAGCGTTAAGCTATCAATACCTATATTTTTTAATTTGTTTTGTCAGCCGTCGCAGATGTAGAGACAAAATATTGTTGTTGAAAGTAAAAAAAGTACAGAAAAAAAGCCAATATAGTACGGTCTGGGCATAAAGGGGGGGCATCATATATAAGAGGAAGGTGGAGGTTCACAGGTCAAAGGATTTTTTTTAACTGATCAAAACACCAAGTACAAAAAAAACCATTGGAGTTAGCCCTCTCTCGGTTTTTTGTGAAAAGTCACACTGCATGTCTGCTATAAAGAAAATAATGTTTTCAAAATGTTTTGGATTATTTGGGCCATTGTCGTAAAATGTATTTTCAGTTTTTTTTTTTTGACACTTTTTTTTAAAAAAATTGTTTCTTATAATGTACGATCATCAACATAAAAATGATATTAAAAATCAGTTTCTAATGCAAAATAATCTCGGCTTTTTGAAAAAATACTGATTTATTTTTTCGAGTAAAACAGAAAATCATTAAAATTAAGTTAATTTTTTAAAAAGTAGATGCTTTCGAGTTTGCCAAATTTTGAATACTATTCTAATATTTTTTTTTAGGAAGCTGATTTAATTTTGCATAAAAATTGTAAATTTCAAATTGGGTTCCCCATAAAAACGCTTAGAAATCAAAAAATCGGAAATCATCTACTTTTGACACATAATAATTTAATTTATGTTAATTTCTATGGTGGTTTCCCGTTAAAAAATTTTATCTATAAAATTAAAAATGTATATATAAAATAATAGACATGGTGGAACAGTTTTAAATACTTTACTCCCAAAACTGTTAAATGACATTTTTTTTCAATTTTTTAATGTTATTTTCATGAAAAAAATGTTTTTTAAAAACAATTTTTTCCTTATAGTACAATAATCCAGACATCAATGGTATAAAATTGCAAACAAATCTCGCTTAAATTTGTAAATTTAAAAAATATTTAAATAGTTTTGTAAGAAACTCAAATTTAATAATTGCTACATAATCTAGCATTTTTTTGTTTGTAAATGTATATAGCGCATATTGCATGTGTTCATTTATCATTTGTAGTTGAAACGCCAATTTTTTTTTTTAATTATCAAGTTGGTACACATTATAAAACGGTATAGACATAGGGACACTTTTGTACACAAAAAGATATACCTACACCTTGATTTTCGAAATCGAGAAAAACACATGATAAGTTTTCATATTTTTCAACTTTGATAATTCTTATAGACTCATGATCTCTTTTCCCTCTCACCCAAAATAGGCTCTGTTACCATTATGCCCTATCATCACCGTACTGGCTGTTATAGTTTTGCTTTTTGTTTAAAACTTTTTAAACACGTCCTTTGTGGATAAAATATTACATTTATGTGTAATCACAAATGTTTTAAATTTTAATACGCAGAAAATATAGTCATAAAACAAATATTAAACTATAAGACTCGTGTACAAATTACAGGCATGATACACATTAAAATCATTGGACTTATGTAATTTGTCTACGTTATATATTTTTCTGGGTGGACCAGCAGAGATTTTTTATTTTTTAAAAGATTGGGGCACGGGTTTAGGGGCCAATTTATTCGTCATGTTTTAAGGAAATAGATATTGAAAGCAGTAAGAATAGTAGGGTAGGTAAATGGTTCAATACATTGTTCATACCATAACAAAGTTTAGTAAAGAATGTATTGAGTAATAAATAAGTTGGCACGACAAGGTCTTACAAACTAACCACTCGCTGATTTAGGGGTAGTAATACACTTTAAAACTACTTAAAATCATACCAAACACTTTAAATAAAACTTTAAACATTTTAGGGTTGAAACTCCTAAAAGACATGTTTTTATTTGCGCCTGTACTGTTTTAACAGACAACCGTTGTTAAGGTTATTTTGGAAAATTTAAAAACAATAACAAAATCTCATAATATGTATAACGAGTTTATTGTATAATAGCTACTGTAATTAATTTTAACATTTAAAGATTATGTATGTGATTATTATGATTAGACAAATCAATGTATGTTTTTGGTATCAGATCCCACTTTCATCTTGTTGGTCTTGGGGTTCTGAAAAAAAATGATATAACTTTGATATTTAGTTGTTCCTAGTAAAAAACAAATGTATATTTTACAAGCACCTCTTCTTTTAGTTTTTACACTACGGCCTAACATTTCTATAACTAATATAGGAGTCGTAGAGAGAACGTCTGTGAAGTACTCATAACTTATACAAACAATGCATAAGCAGTATAATAGCTAAAAAGTATAGAGAGAGAACGGTAATTACTCTTGAATATGTTGTGTATGTTATTGTAACTTAAAATTCACGACTCTAATATTATTTTGACAGTTCCTTACCATTCTCATTCTGTGTTAAATTAGCAAAACATTTGAAACGTTTTTATTAAGCGAGTTTATGGATAAAATGATTTAAGAAAACGTTTAAAATGCCAGTACAGATAGATTACAGTAGTTAAGTAATTTGAATGGGTTTGAATGATCTAAATTATATAAGACGTATCGTTAACATTTTAAGAAAAACCAATTCATAGATGGCATACCTTGTTATTTTCTTGTACGCGAATCGCATTGGTCTCAGTTGGGCTAAAAAACGTATAAAAATTGTTAAAAATTGAAATGAGTTTGGTTTTTTATTATTTCTGGTAAAACGGAATGTACAAATTACTAGCAAACTTTTAAAATCATTTCCGTTCTGTGTTAATAGACGTGCTCGATTTGCTACAGTATATCAATACTTTATACTTACTGGTACTCAGTGTTCACGTACAAAGTCGTCCAAATGTTCTTCATCGCGAATCTGGAGCATACCTATTCTTATCGTATCTTGTGGCTGTTCACGGACGGTTTCTACAACTTTCGTTTGAATTACGGATGTGCTAAAAAAAAAACAGTATTATAATTATTAAAAATTATTGAAATAAAATATTCAAATTTTATTGTAGTCAAACATTTTGATATAATATTAACTACATAGAACGTGTCCAAATAAAAATAACATAAATTGTACTCATTTTTAGAGAAAAGCTTATTTGTTCTAATTTTAAATTACATTTTTTTAATTCACCAGTTTGATAAGTATCTGGACTACATCATTCTACCTCCCGAGAAGTTGTTAAAGTTCTGCATTTATACTAGCTTTTTATAATATATTTTGATGTCATACCGTGGGTTGAATTTGGTGCCGTAAATGTCCGCTGGGTTTCTATCATTTGGCAAAACCGTTTTTATACCAGAAACCTCGAATTCCGCATCCTCTACGAAGCAACCCGAAGCCTCTATTGCGGCAATTGCTGACGATGTTCCTGTTCTCGATTGTGTAAAATCACTAACCAACACTTTTCGATCCTCGCCTTGCAATTCATCAAAATGCCTTAAAACTAAAGTAATATCGGCGTTGACGAATCCCCTTGTTAATGATTTGAAGTTACTCACAAAATTACCGCCGTGTCGTACGCACTTGCCCATAATAAAATTGTCGAACAATCGGACAGTCTCATTGAGAACACAAATGAGTTCATTGATAGTGTAGATAGTCGGTTGGTAGTATTCGTTTTTAAACTTCGTTCTCATAACTTCGGAATAGACTTTGTACTTGATTTTTAAACCGATTATCTTCTGAATGATTTCTTCCCAAAAAAAGTGGATATTCTCTTTTGCTGTACCATGAAATGTGTATTCATAAAATACTTGATAGCTGCCATTAATTTTAAAATCAAAGTCCAAGTAATATTTCCCGATATTAAGAAATGCATGCATGAATTGAAAATGTGCGTTTCCAAATATTGTTTCACGATGGAAATCCGTCCTATATAATTCCGTATGTCGTATGGCTGTCCAAGTGTTCTTTTTGAACTCCAACAAGTCCTGAACAATCAAAAAAGTGGTGAAACTCGCGTATTTCGTTAACGTGCACTCATAAGCTATTTTGATTATGTCACGGATCTTTAGAAATTCCGCCTCAGAATTCTCTTTAGCATTTTTCTTAAAGTTAATCACAGCCTCCCTAACATTAACAGTGATTTCTTTGCCGTCGGGACCTTTGTAAAATACACTTTCGCCCATTGCTGTGTTCCATTCGTTAATGGGAGTTTCATTGTTCAAAACTCGTTTTAGTCCTTCCAGATCTAAATTTTCAATCGTTGACAATATGCAATAAGCGCCTGAAAGACACAGTAGAATCACACTAAAATGACTAATCATATTGTTAATGTTTTACTGACGTTGAATACTTGCTGTAGCTCAATAAACACTAAAACGTTTTGCATCGTTGGTTTAACCTGTAACGTTTTGAGAATATCTATGACAATAAGTTGTGTGGCCACAGCAGTTGGTTTCTTAAAAAATACAAAATTCACCAGGTAAATATATTTTGCAGCGTTAAGTCACCAAGACGAATCATTTTTCATTTGTATTTTCAGCCGTCGCAGATATATCGAAAATATAGTTCAATAACAGTCAACAAATTCTAACGATTCTTGACTCTTGATAAAAATTGCACTGTTATCCCATAATTTTTACTCCATGTAATAAATATCAAAAACGTTTCAAATGCGTTTTTTGGCAAAATAATTTTTATTTAAACAGTTTTATGAATATTTCTATAGCCGAGTAAGCTACAAAGTTTTCAAGTACATATCAATTTATAAGAGTTAAAAAGTTAGAATGGGAGAAGAAGTGGAGTGTATTTTTTTTTATCTACATGCATTTTCCAACCAAACTTTCTCTCACATCATAACTTCTATAACTTCAAAATTAAGTATCCGAAGGTGGTTATTGACCAGTCAAAATTTTCTGTACATTATTCTCTATTTAATAAGGTATTAAAATGTATACGTTACCATTTAAGTTTTAAAAGTTGCTATCAAAAAATCGAAGTGGGGGGGGGGGGTAAAAACGATAAAAATTTGTGATCACACTGTATAAAAAAATATGAAAAAAAAATTAAATTATTAATTAAACCCATTGAGATATTGACTGGTTTATGATAAAAGAATCGCTCTGTATATATTAGTGATGGGCCAACACCATTTTTTACCGATACCCAAAACTACAACATTGACTACAGTTTATTATGAAATAAGCTAAAAATATTATATTATTATTTATTATGATAATAGTAATTAATTATTGATTTATCATCTTCGTTTTTGTGAGTTTTTGATTATTAACCAAAGTCTCACAAACATGTTTGATATTTAATACAACCATTAACCTGTAACCGCTACACAGGTTTAGACAAAAACAAGCGTATTTTAGTTGAAAAATTAACTATCAGGGATAATGCTATATGAAGGGTTGACGCCAAATTCCATAACAAACAACATACTTTTAGTATTGATTCGTACATTAGGCGTGGAATTCATTATATTAAACACAAATGGCAGTTGTAATATAATTAGGTACTTTTAATCATGCTGGAGCCCTCAAGTCCATTGTAATCAGTCAATTACATACAATTACAAAAATTGCATACATTTAATTGTGTTACAAAAAAAAATGTGGGTACCAAATTTCACAGTTCACCCGGTAAATATATTTTGTAGCGTCAAGCTACCAAGGCGAATATTTTGTTATTTGTATTGTCAGCCGTCGCAGATGTATAGAAAGTATAGTTTTTATAACAGTCAACAAGTGCCACCGATTGTACGACTCTTTATAATAATTTCACATTTTTCCCATAATCGTTATTCTTTTTTTTTTTTTTCTTAGAAAATGTCTTTATTATATTGAATATTTACATCTATACAAAATACATGCACAACAGTAAATGGGTTAACAGTAAAAAAAAAATTAATAATATAGCTTGAATAACATGCAGTAGGCATATTCTATGTAATAAATATAAAAAAAGTATCAAATATAATTGTAAAAAATTGGTCTAAATTATTTATATTCGAAAACTTCGTCATATGTTACATATTTTACAATTTAAGTTTCAAAAGTCGAATGCACTGATAAAAAAGTACAAAAAAAATAACAAGACATTATAGTTCGGTCGATCACAAAGGTACACATAGCATAATGGATGGGGTAGTTCATATTATGTCTATAGAAAATATTTTGCTATCAAGCTTTACATATTAATACGCACATAAAGTCATAAAACAGATATTAAACTATATGACACGTATGCAAATTACACACACGGTACACATTAAAATCATTCGGCTTATGTAGTTTTTCCACGTACATACAATCTTTTAGGCATTCTACTTTCACACAAAATACCTGCACCCCCTCCTCATACCTACCATGTTTTTGTTATACTGAATCCAAGTTCTTGAACCCCACCAACCCCACACACTTTATCTTCGCCCATCTGCATTCCCTGTCTTGTCCAATAACTTTCTTGAAAATCAAACACGATTTCCTCAGTTTGACTCCTACTAATCCTCATTCATTTTCCTTCAAGCGCTCCGTTTTTCCACGCTTCAAGTCTTTCAGCCAATTCTGCTTCCCCAAAATTGAGAAACGACATTTTTTTTGTGTATTTCATATTTTTTACATAAATTTCAGAAACATGTGTTTTCGAAACAAATTGTCCCTTTTAAGACAATAACCAAACCAAACATAAATGGTTAATCATTTATTGCAAGGAAATCAAAAATCTTAACTTTAAAACTACTAGTTGTTTTTTGTATGAAATTCAGTTTTTATAATTGCTGTTCAGAGATCTAGCCATTTTTTTTTAATATTTGTATACAGGGTGATTCTTTTATCATGAACTAGTCAATATTTCACTGGGTTTAGTTAATAATTGATTTTTTTTTTATTATAATGTTTTCATAAAACGTGATCTCAATTTTTCCAATTTTGTTTTTTGTTTTTACTCCTCTCCCAAGTTAGTTTTCTTGATAGTAACTTTTAAAACTTAAATGGTAACGTATATATTTTATTTACATTTTAAATCGAGAAAAACGTACTAAATATTTTGACTGGTCGATAACCAGTTTCGGACAACTATTTTTAAAGTTATAAGAGTTTAAAAGTTAGGATGGGAGGGAAAGTGTGGTTGGAAGATGCGCGAAGACAAAAATAAAAATATACTCCACCTTTCCTCCTGCCCTAATCTTGAAACTTCAATAACTTCAAAAATAGTTATCCGAAACTGGTTATCGACCAGTCAACATTTTTAGTACATTATTCTTAATTCTAAAAGTAAATGAAATATATACGTTACCGTTTAAATTTCAAAAGTTGCTATCAAAAAAACTAAGTTGGGAGGTGGGTAAAGATAAAAATCAATTATTAATTAAACCCAATGAGATATTGCCTGATTCATGAAAAAAGGATCACCTTGTTTAGGGCCGTTTTTTAAAATGTTTTAATCAAGTTGGTATATATTATAAATTTGTATAGACTGTGTGACACTTGTATACACAAAAAACGATACCTACATTTTGATGTAATAACATGATATCTACGCTTAAATCATTAGACCTATGCAATTTTTCCACGTTATATATTTTGCCATATGAATACTCAAAGTGGTAGTTGAAAAAAATGTAACTTAAAATATTTTATTTACACAAAAAATGATACCTACACGTTGATTTTCGAATTCGAGAAAAACACATTTTAAATTTCCATTTTTTTTCAACTTGTAATAGTTATTCTTATTGTTCTGTAATCCCCCTATCCTCCAATATGCTCTGTCACAACTATGTCCCATCATCACCGTTCTGGCTTTTTAAATTTTGGTTTAAAACCTTTTTAACACGTATTTTGCTAACGGGTGGATACTATATTATATTTTTGTGTAATCACAAATTTTTTTAACTTTTAACACACCCATATAGTCATAATAAGAAAAATATTAAACTATAAGACTCGTGTAAAAATTACAGACACGGTACACATTCAAATCATTGGACCTATGTAATTTTTCCACATTATATATTTGGTTATATGAATATTCAAAAGTGCAGTTGAAAAAAATGTACTATAATATATTATACTGTATCAGCAGTAATGATATCGACCGATATTTAAGCAGTCGATTATAAAGCAGAATCACAAGTTACACTTCAATATTTGTGGGTGGATTAATAGAATTTCTTTTATTATTTAAAATCCAGGGCACGGGTTTTAAGGGCCAATCTATTCGTCATGTTTTGATGGGATGAAAATTGTAAGCAGCAAAAAAGATAGGGTAGGTGAATTGTTCAATACATTGTACACACCCTAACAAAGTTTAGTAATGAACACATTAAGTAATAATTAAGTTGGCACGACAAGGTCTTACAAACTAACCACTCACTGATTTAGGGGTAGTAATACATTTTAAAACTACTTAAAATCATACCAAACACTTTAAATTAAACTTTAAACATTTAAGGATTAAAAATCCTAAAAGACATGATTTTATATGCACCTGTGGTGTTTAAACAGACAACCATTGTTAAGGTTATTTTGGAAAATTATTAAAAACAATAACAAAATCTCATAATTTTCATAATGAGTTTATAGTATAATATCTACTGTAATTATTTTTAACATTTAAAGACTATGTATGTGATTATTATAATTAGACAAATCAATGTATGTTTTTAGTATCAGATCCCACTTTCATCTTGTTGGTCTTGTGGGTTCTGAAAAAAAATTGTAAAAACATGATATAATTTTGGTATTTAGTTGTTCCTAGTAAAAACCAAATGTATATTTTACAAGTACCTCTTCTTTTTATTTTTACACTACGGCTTAACATTTCTATAACTAATATAGGAGTCGTAGAGAGAACGTCCGTGAAGTACTCATAACTTATACAAGTCATGCATAAGCAGTATCATAGCTAAAAAGTTTAGAGAGAGGCCGATAATTATTCCTGAATAAGTTGTGTATGTTATTGTAGCTTGAAATTCACGACCTTACGATTATCTTGACAGTACTTTACCATTCTCATTGTGTATTAAGGTAGCAAAACATTTGAAACGTTTGTACTAAGCGAGTTTATGGATAAAATGATTTAAGAAAACCTTTGAAATGCCAGTAAAGATCGATTACAGTAGTTAAGTAATTTGAATGGGTTTGAATGATCTAAATTATATAAGACGTACCGTTCGCCAACCATTGTTAAGATGATTTTGAAAACATTTTAAGCAAAAATAATAATAGGTGGCATACCTTGTTATTTTCTTGTACACGAATCACATTAGTCTCAGTTGGGCTAAAAAAACGTACACAAATTGTTAAAAATGGAATGTATATATTACTAGTAAACTTTTAAAATCATTTCCGTTCTGTGTTAATAGACGTGCTCGATCTGCTACACTATATCAATACTTTATACTTACTGGTACTCTGTGTTCACGTACAAAGTCGTTCAAATGTTCTTCATCGCGAATCTGGAGCATACCTATTCTTACCCTATTTTGTGACTGCTCACGGATGGTTTTTGCAACTTTCGTTTGAATTACGGATGTGCTAAAATATAACTATAATTATTTATTAAAAAATTATCAAAACAAAATATTCAAATTTTACTATAGTCAAACATTTTGATCCACTCATTGTCCACTTCAAGCAACTAATAGTATTTTTTCAATGTACCCGATCTCAAATACATAGTTTTTGCTACATTTATTAGCTACACTTCCTTGTCCCGATATCCTTCTGCCAGCTTAATAAGTATCTCTACTACATCATTCTACCTCTCAAGAAGTTGTTAAAGTTCTGCATTTATACTAGCTTTTATAATATTTTGATATCATACCGTGGGTTGAAGTTGGTGCCGTAAATGTCCGCTGGGTTTCTATTATTTGGCAAAACCGTTTTTATACCAGAAATCTCGAATTCCGCATTCTCTACGAAGCAACCCGAAGCCTCAATTGCGGCAATTGCTGACGATGTTCCTGTTCTTGATTGTGTAAAATCACTAACCAACACTTTTCGATCCTCGCCTTGCAATGTATCGAAATACTTTAAAACTTTAGGGATATTGGCGTTGACGAATCCCCTTGTTAATGATTTGAAGTTACTCACAAAATTGCCGCCGTGTCGTACGCACTTGCCCACAATAAAATTGTCCAACAATCGGACAGTCTCATTGAGAACACAAATGAGTTCATTGATAGTGTAGATAGTCGGTTGGTAGTATTCGTTTTTAAATTTCGTTCTCATAACTTCGGAATAGACTTTGTACTTGATTTTTAAACCGATTATCTTTTGAATGATTTCATCCCAAAAAAGGTAGATATTCTCTTTTGCTGTACCATGAAATGTGTGTTCGTGAAAAACTTGATAGCTGCCATTAATTTTAAAATCAAAGTCCAAGTAATATTTCCCGATACTTAGAAATGTGTGCATGTTTTTAAAATGTGCATTTCCAAATATTGTTTCACGATTGAAATCCGCCCCATATAATTCGGTATGTCGTATGGCTCCCCAAGTGTTCGTTTTGAACTCCAACAAGTCCTGGACGATCAAAAATGTGGTGAAGCTCGCGTACTTCGTTAACGTGCACTCATAAGCCAATTTGATTAAGTCACGGATCTTTAGAAATTCCGCCTCAGAATTCTCATTAGCATTTTTCTTAAAGTTGATCACAGCCTCCCTAACATTAACAGTGATTTCTTTGCCGTCGGGACCTTTGGAATATACACTTTCGCCCATTGCTGTGTTCCATTCGTTAATGGGAGTTTCATCGTTAAAAACTCGTTTTAGTCCTTCCAAATCTAAATTTTCAATCTTTGATAATATGCTATATGCGCCAGAAAGACACAACAGAATCACACTAAAATGACTAATCATATTGTTAATGTTTTACTGACGTTGAATACTTGATGTAGCCCAAGAAAAACTTAAAGGTTTTGGATCGTCGGTTTAGCCTGTAACGTTTTCTGAATATCTATGACAAAAAATGGTGTAGACACAGCAGTTGGTTTATGTTCGCGTATTAGTTGTTTATCTTTCTTGCATGTACATGTTTAAAGTAGTACGTGTTCATTTATTATTTGTTAGTTTTTACGACCGTTTTTTTTTAAATATTGGACCTATGTAATTTTTCCACGTTATACATGTTGTCATATGAATATTCAAAGTGGTAGTTGAAAACAATATTAAAATATCTGTGTGCAATAATCATGAAATTGTGTGTCTGAAAATGCAAAAAAAAAAAATATATATTATAGAACAATGATTTTATACATTTAAAATCTTAAAATGCAAATCCGACAGGTTACGAACATTTTACCATAATAACAAATATAAAATGTGACATTCAATATAATGTCAAAAGAAATCAATCCTTCGCCTTTAACACCGTGAAAACCCAAAAGGAAATTTGATGATTGTTCAATTTTAACATCTACCTCCTGTAACTCTGTTGGACATTATAATAACCATATTAACCTCAGATCTAAATTTCACCAAATCCCCAAATATAGCGCAGTATTTTTTTGTTGTAGGAAAACAAGTAGGTAGTCTAAAAAGTCTATATTGATAAAGTTATTTTTGTATCCACAGTTTTACAACGAACCCTTTGTTTGAATATGATCGTATCACTTTCGAATAAAATAACTTATTCCTATACATCTTTGAGCAGCCAATGTCTAGTGTTCTATGTCATTGCTATGCCTTGGCTTCACTTTTTTTTTAAAAAGCAAAAAATATATGGTTTTTATAATGTAATATCGATGAACGAATGTTTCGTTATAATAGTTTTTGTAAAGTATTTAGTGCTAATTTGGCATTCACAAGATACATGTTCTATAAGGTGATAATTTTATCGTGAACCACTCAATATCTTACTGGGTTTAATCAGTAACTGAACATCTTTTTTTTTTTCTTTTATAGTGTTTTATATAATGTGACCTCAATTTTCTACACATTTTTATGTTCCTACCCTCCTTCCATACCAATTGTTTTTGTATTAACTTTTGAAACTTAATGGTTAACATTTCAATAACTTTTCAACTTGAGAATAAATTATTAAATATTTGAAATTAATTTTTAAATATTACCTTCACCTTAGGCCTCAAAGATAGTCCTCCATTAACTTTTAATAATAATATAATCCCAATAGAAAACTCCGTTAAATACTTGATAAGCGACTAACCTAGGCTACTCACATTAAAACCAAAAAAATAGCTCTTAAATTAAACTTCATAGCAAAAAACATATCCTTCGTTCAAACTTTTCTCTTAACAATAAAATCCTTCTATAGTTGTTCAAAATTGGTTATTAGCCAGTCAACATTTTTAGGAAAATATTTTTAATTTAAAAGTTAACATAAAAATAATAATAATTGAAGGGGTGTAAAAACAAAAAGAATTATGAAAAATTGTGATCACATTGCATAAAAACACTATGAAAAAAAAACTAAATTTCTTATTAAACCCTATGAAATTTTGAGCGGTCCACGATAAAATGATCACCCTGTATTCAGAAAAAGATATACATTAAATTTTTAAGAAAACGTGTACGAATTACTGACACGGCGCACAATCTTTTTTACCTATGAAATTTGTACACGTTATTTTATTTAAATTTAATATATTTGTTTTTGCGAATATTCACAACGGCAGTTGAAAAAAAAAATTAATTAAAATATCTGTGTGCGCAAACGCTAAAATTATAGGTTTCATGCAAGAATATTGTCAAGCTGAAATTTAAAAAATTTAATTTCTAGGCAAGGATACAAAAGTACAGTTCAAATTGAAAATATAAAAGATCTAAGTGTGGTCGTGGCACAAATCATATTATAGGGTTGCAGATCTAATGACTTATTACAACTGAAAGTGATAACATCACTTTCAAATGAAAGTTCTTGTACGAAACTGTATAGGTAGAAATACAAATATTGTACCTAATAACGCAATAACGTTCCTTAAAATATATTTTTGTTGTTAGGGTGAATACGATTAGGGTTGATCTTCTGTCTATAATGATTTATGGCCACTTACATCAACTATTGATTTTTTCACAAATAGCAACCTAGAATTTGACTACGGTCAAAGTGTAATTTTTCCTTATTTTTTTTTTGGGTGGGGGGTTTCTCAATAAAACCAACCTTAAGCATAAACATTTCAGCTAGATAAGCGAAAAAAATAATAAGATTCCACCCCATCACTCTCGGTAGTAATTTTTTGTCTAAAGAATATTCCGTTTAAATGTTGATAATTTTTAAAAATGTATAGAACGCGTTAATTTTAAGTTGTAAATTGTGTAAGTTTGTTAGGCGTTTTTCTCGATTTTTAAAATCAAGGTGAATGTATCATTTTTTGTGTACACAAGTGTCCCACGATCTACAACGTTGTAAAACGTAAAGAATAAAGTTTAAGTTATTAAAAAAAAAAAACGGCCGTACCTTGTACTCACAAATAACAAACGAACAAGTATGCATTTATTAAAACCGAATATCTCAAAAATAGTTAATACTCTTAAAATAGTCAAATTTACCAAAACGGCGGTTCCACTACATTGTACTATCTTCTCAATATAATGTTGGCTAATTTATAGAAACTTCTGTCGTATAAAGTTAAAGGGTTTCAAATTTTGCAGCATTTTAATGGACCATGGTTGATATATTTTTAGGAAAGAGGCATCGAAATTTGTTTCTATAATTTGTTAGTAGTTGAATTAAATAATAACATATAGTTGGTTTCACTATACAGTTTGAGTAAATTTGAGGGCAATGATATACATTGGAAATTTAAAAACGACAAAATTATATGCCTTCCACTTGACCGAATGTTTATTTTATTCACACTGATTTTGTAAAAAATAATAACTTATTTGTAGCCCTGTGACCTTCTTCTTCCTAATATTATGCTCTTTCCCCACTATGCCCCGGCTCCACTCTGTACTGGCTTATTTTTATATTTGATCATTACATTTTTTTCACTATAAAAACTTGTTGGGTTTTTGTAAAAAATTACCGAAACCCGATTTGTGTACTGTATTTGCTTTGTTTAAAATATTATTTTGGACATTTTTTTTCGAGGGAATAAAAAATCATATGAACGTGTAATCCACACATGTTTAAAATTTCAATAGGTACACTAGTAGTCACACCTCTTAGTCATAACACAAAATTTATGAAATTTTTTATTTAAAAAATGTGTACAAACTACAGACGCAGTTCAAATTGGAAATATTGTACCATTATCATTTTTACACATTAATTTAGTAAAAATTTACTATATTATTTCGTTTTTGAATATTCAAAGTGGCAGTTGATTATAAATATATTAAAATATCTGTGTGCAATAATCCTAAAATTGTATGTCTGTGCGAGAATGATGTCAATCTATGATTTTTTAACTACCTTCGAATTTTAATATACCAAGTTAAATTATTAACAAGTGCCAGCACAAATTCAAAATGAAATAAAATTCTATTACAACGATGTAATACATTGAAAATGATAAAAAGTCAAAATTATTAGATATTTTTCCAAATGAAATGTTTATTTATTCACATTAATTTTCTTTAAAATAGCAAATTTATTATTGGTATAACAATTGACATTCAATGTAATGTTAAAAAAAACAGACCTTTATCCTCAAAATCGGGCAACCCCTAAACCAAATTTGATACTTATTCTATTTTATACCGTTAGTCTTATGTTATTTTCAGAAAAATATTCGACTAAAGTTTGGATACTAAATTGACTTTTTGTCAAATAGTTGTTAATAGTTTTAAAATGGTTAAATACATTTATTTTGTTTTTGCATTTGCGCCTCGATTGATTTTTTGATCTACGCAAATAATATAATATAATGTAGATAATTGCATTTAATTGTGTTTTATCAATTTTTAGGTTAATGAAAGATGTTTACATTTGAGTATGTTTACTTCAATGATCTTATCGTGAATACTTATTGAGTTTCAAATGTATTTATAAGGCACTTTATTAATTCTGTATTAAATATTATAATGGTTAAGTATACGAGATGGGATATCAGAAATTAAGTTGGTACTACAATTATTTAAATAGACTTTGTCAGGAATTGAGAAAAAACCGAGGGCCTCTTAAACATCTAAAGACGTAGTAAACAAGTAGAAAAATAATGTGCACGTGTATTGTTCAAATATTGAAAAAAATATGTTTCTGTACTAAACGCAAAAATATCAAGATTACTCATGTACAAATTTATCGGTTGCAAAAAAAAAACTACTTGTATTATATTATGCTTACACATTTTATACAAGCCGTACTACATTATATGATTTGAATAAACGAGTACCTATAAAAATGCATAACATTCAAAAGTCAAAAGTTTAAAAGCGGCTCGTGTCGTTGCGATTTATTAAGTTTTTTTTTCGGTTCATCAATTTGTCTTATAACTAACAAAGCATTTGTTTTGCAAACTTCACACTGAATAATAAAAAAGCTTTTATTTTTAATCCTAGCTACAATATGTATAGTTAAATGATTTTAATTTTAATTTTACTTTGTACCTACCCGAAACTATTGTACCTAATTTCTTAATAATTAAATTGTTGTGCACCTATTTGCGTAACAATAAGTTTGCAGGTTATAGATTACAAAAATAAATACAGTTTTTGTTAGGTGACTAATAAAAACAAGTATTGAGAAATAACTAAAAGTATTAAATATATGAAAACGGATAAGTTTAATAGGAAACGGCGAATGTTCTATAAATATTGATGATGTATAAGTTAAATGGATACTCTGTACAATAGTTCTTTTTATTTATGTATAATAAAACAAATAGAACAGAATAACATATTATGATAAATAAAAAATATTTAGGCTGCAACGAAAAAAAGTTGTTAATTATAATGTACTCGAATAATACAAATTGACCAATTTCATTAACTTTAAAGTGTAAATGAATTAAATAAATAGGATAAAAAATTAGAAAATTTTTTTTTTAACTATTGGTTTTACAATGATGTGTGCATTTTAATTTAATATATTGTAAGTGATACAGGCTCTGCGACCATTTGTTTGCAAGTTTAGTCCACCCTTACACCCTGGGTCGAAAAACCTTCTGTCATTGTACATGATGTCTCTGAAATCGTTGCACTGATCTTTTTATCACGGTTTTTTAGAAATTAATATGGGTGGAAATATGGAAAAAATAATACAATATACTTCATGGATTATTATAAACATTCAGTATTTATTTATATTATTGAATTGTATACAAGTAATAAATTAATGATGTGTTACAGACCTTTCAAACAAATTTAAATTAATTATTATTGAAATTTGTAAAATACTTTTATGAATTTGAAAACGATTTAAGTGGTTTTTTTAAAGCTATTGACGATGCAGTAGTTTTTAACTGATGTCATGATGAAAGTTTAATCTAAAAACGTTTGTGGTTCATCTTCTAAACGTTTATTTAGTTTCTGTAGCTTTTTAAGAGTTAATGCCCGTTCTGACTCGTTTTCAGGATATAATGTAAGGCAATGTATTAACTCTTTAAATTCCGGCTTTGTTATTTTGAATAGTTCATCTAAATAGTTTACAACACATATTAGATTGAAATCAATGAAACATTTTAAAAGTTATAACATGGAATTGTACACATACATTTTGGATAAGTACAGTTCATTTTAAACAATACTTTTAAATTATAGTAGAATTTCCTTTACAAAATGGGATTGCATGCGGTTTTGACCAAAAACTGTTGGTCTAAAAAGAAGCCAAAATGACTTTTATTTTTGAAAAAAAATCATATAAATTAAAAATAATACCTACATAGAAGCTTCTCCGAATAATTGACTGGAAAATTAAATACATGGTCGAAATTTATTAAAACCAATTTGTTTTTCAATATTGCCAATACAAAACTCCATAAAGACAGACCGAATTCTTCTCATTATAATAATATTAATTATAGTTTATTTTTAAATTTAAATTTATATTACAATTTTGTATTGCGTTATATTAAATGTATTAAAATATTGTATCTTAATTAATATTTAAATGTTATCTTTCATTAGTCCAAACCTTTGATACTTCCTGGATTTTTCTCTATCCATTCGAAGATCTTCTCTGTATGGTCAGGTAACACACTTAGTACATGGGTTCTGGTAGTGAGGCCTACTTCTTTTGATCCAACTATGTCTTTTAGCTCTATAATCTTCCATAATTTTTCTACTTCTTTAGCCTGGAAGATATTAACGAATCGCATTTCAAAACCTGTTATACATATTATTCGGCTTCAATGAAAACACATCCTAGCTTTAGAAACGAAATTTACAAAAAAAAATCTCAAGCTTCCTTAACTAAAAAACCAATGAAGTGAGGAATTATGCCTATTTTTGGATTTAAAACATTTAAGTTACCTGTTCGAGATCCTCTGCAGGGATTAATGTATCGCTTTGCATTATAGCTTCAAATCTTGGCTTTTTCAATATGGTCGGTTCATCTAAATGGTTACAACACAATATATTAGATGGAAATGTACAAAATATTTAATTAGATATACTATGAAACCGTGGGCATATTTTAGCTGCTGGGGATTTCTTCCTCTTCTTCTTATCGGGTCTGGGGCCTTTATTGATGTTAATTATAGTTAATATACATTAAATAGACATTAGAGATATATTAAGATATTATGTTCTTTATCGTTAGTACAAACCTTCATCGCTTCCAGGATTTTTCGTTATCCATTCAGCAATCTTATCCGCTTGTTTGGGATACTCTATTATCAGATCGGCCGCGGAAGTGTAACCTAGGCGTTTTTCTTCTGTTTCACTCACTTCTTTTTGTTCTAAAATCTTCCACAATTCTTTGGTTTTCCTTTTTTCGTGAGTTTCGTCGGAATTCGCTATCCAGTAGTTAATAAATATTAAAAACATTGAAATCGGATACTTCAAATTCATTTTTTACTGCTAGCCCAACAATTTTAAAATACGTCTGAGTCGTCTCGTTATTACCAGACGTAAAAAATAAGCAGAAAATATACTGCGCATGTGTGTTGTTCAAATAGTAACATTTTTTCATATTATACTGAAAACATATAAACGTTACCCACGAACGACTTCATCAGTTTAAAAAAAATATATGCAACAGATATTATGTAACTTGTACACATTTCATAAAAGCTATACTAAATATTATTTGATTTCCTATACCGTCCAAACGCCTCTTAATAAGATACTAACAAATAAACAAGTGTTTACCTAACACCAAAAACGTTAAGTTACGCCTGTATAAAATAATATTATTTCTGGGACGAACCGTTTATTATGTCCCACAAAGCCTAACAGCTTATCTTCAACATGTTCTTAATAATATTTTTTTTTACAAGCTCAAACTCAGTTAAGCTATCACAGAATTATATTAGAATTAGATAGAATTATTCGTTTTAAGCAACATTTTTTTGTAGTATTATGAAATAATGTAAATTAACAACAATAACGACTTACAAATAATATGTATGAAAACCAAGGCGCATCTACACCGTAATCTCTTAGGAAAATTGAATACTATCAGAGTTTACATATTTATGCTATGGGGCTTTTTATTTTGCAAAATTGCAAACAGTCACAAATGAAAAAAAGTTTTTCAGCCGAGTCTGCAACCACGAAAGAGCATTTTCATGTCTCGTTGAAGTGCCGAATAAATTTAGATTAGTTGTGGAATTAAAATGAAATAAAAAAAATTACATGGAGCTTCCAGTTACAGCATAAGCTAAGGAGATTAAAAAATTATGTACAATCAAGTTTCTGGCTATTATTTTAGTTGTTTCATAAAATCTAGCTTGAAACAATTCGACCTGTTAAACTATTTTGAATTTATTATTTAGTTCTAATTTGAACGTTGAACGAACAACATATCTCTTATCTCTTATCAGATAACAGCGTAACGCTTTTTTTGGTAACACTTTTTTCGGTTATGAGCCAGAGCTAATTCCCACCCCTATCACTCACCCTATCTCCCACCCCTATCTCTAACCCCTATCTCCTACCCCTATCACTCACTTCCTATCTCCCACCCCTATCTCCTACCCCCATCCCCATCCCAATGTGGTAACGCTTTTTTTGGTAACACTTTTTTTCGGTTATGTACCGGCTAATTCTCACCCTGATCTCCCACCCCTATCTCCCGTCCCTTTTTTTTCAGTTACCTGTTTACAACAGTAATGTTGATGCACTTGCACGTATCAACTAAGCCAAGGTACATTTTATAAAGTGTTCGAAAAACGGTTTAAAATATTTTACAACATGTTTTCAATAAAAGATATTCTGTAAAAAGCTGCATGTAAAATAATTACCCGAATGTTTAATAAACATGTTGTGTTCTGTTTTGAAACAGTTTACAATAATAGTTAAACAAACTGTTTTTAAATTTTATTTACATATTTAATCAGTAAACATAAAATTCCTAATCTAAAGCGTACACATTTGAACAATGAAGGAGAACTAAATTAATATATTAGGATATTGGAAAATACGAGCATAACCATAAAAAAATGTGTTAACTACAATACAAGACATACGTTAGGGAATAACAATTGCTTTAAGTATTATTATTGGTTCTTATACATCATTTGTATTCGCTATAAAATATCTAACAATGGTACTACCGTGCAGACAAATTCAAAAGTTCAAAAACACTAATAATAAATCAAGACGTGACCATAAAACCACTTCTATTCCATAAAAAAAAAAAAAAAAAGTAGTAAAACTATAAAAATTTTTGTTGTAGAATCCAACAGTCCTCTTAACGTAAAAAATGTGTGATGCTAACAGTTGTTTTTCGCCTTTTGTCTGCATTATCAAACCTAACCTAACCTAACCTTAACAGACACTATAACTTTGTACCATTTACCTTTGGTCTAATTTTCAGACCTAAATCCCTAAAACTTCACATGCCGAAGAGGCGAAATAAAAAAAAAAGATTCCACCATTCCTGGAGGAAATCTGGTCCATTTATTTAAGAATAATGATTTTGGTTATGTACATGATGTCGCAAAAATCGTTATATTGACCTTTTATCACAGTTTTTTGGAAAACTAATATGAGTGGAAGATATAACTTACACACTATGAATTATTATAACATTTCGGTATTTATTGATATTATTGACTTTTATACATAAGTAAATTAATAATGTATTAAAGATATTTCAAGCAGATTTGAAGCAAGTATTATTGAAATTTGTAAAATATTATAATGAATGTCAACACAATTGAAATGTACTTTTGAAAGCTATTGGCGATGCAGTAGTTTCTCGCGAATGGCATAATCAAAGGGTTAATCTTCAAAGGACGGTGGATTTTCTTTTAAACGATTATTTAGCTTCTGTAGTTCTTCAAGATCTATTTTAAGGCTTCGAATTAGTTTAGTAAGATTGTGTTTTGCTATGTTGAATGGTTTATCTAAACAGTGACATCACATATTAGTTTATTTAAAATGGAACATAAATATTTAGAATAACTATTGACTTTAAACAACAGTTATAAATTGTAGTAGGATTTTGTATTTATAATTTCTTTGTGAATTTAAACTTATATTAAAATTGAGTGTTTTTTTTGTCAATAGTACAAACCTTTGAAACTCTTTCGATTTTTCTCTATCCATTCGGAGATCTTCTCTGTATAATCAGGTAAGACTTTTACCACATGACTTCTGTTAGTATAGCCTAGGCATATTTCTTTTGATTGCACCATTTCTTTTAGTTCTAAAACCTTCCAAAGTTTTTCTATTTCTAATGGCTGAAATATATTCATGAATCGTATTAAATTATAAATAAATACCTATTGTACAAATTACTCAGCTTCATTGAAAATACATCCTGGTTTTAGAGACCAAATTTACAAAAAAACCTTAGGATTTCTTAAATCAAAATCTTCGTTTATTGTCCCATCACTACTAGTATTTAAATAAAAAATTATTCAATCATATGGTTAAACATGCTTATTTGAGTGGAAATTATGAATATTTTGCTGGACATTTAGAATAGATTGTATACAAAACAATTACAAATAAATAATATTTCTAATTAAAAAAGGGTTGTTGAAATGGTGTTAATCGTTACTGTTTTTGATTATTGATACAACTTAATGATAGTAAATTACCTTGGTAAGAGGAGACAATATTTGTGTGCTAGTAGTACATACATGACTTATCTGAATAATACAAATTATTAAACAACTATTAAGAATTAGGCATTTGGTTGTCTTTTTTTCTGCTTTAGTTTAAAACATTTAAGTTACCCGTTTGGCATACTCTTCAGGATTGAATGTAATGCTTTGCATTAATGTTTTGAATCTGGGCTTTTTTAATATGAATGGTTTATCTAATAGTAACAATATAATATTGTAATGATTAGAATGTATGAAATATTTAATTAGAATATGGAGTTTATATGGAAAATATTTGGGATAAGTATTGCTTCTAAGAACAACAGTTCTCAATGGAAACTTACCATTATAATGACAATATAAAGTATTAACTTTCTTAGCTGAGAAATTTGTGTAATACTTTTATATCATAAACTCCGATTAATATTAATCTTTTTTCAATAATCGTTTAAAAAATATTTGTGTTTATCAATTTTAGTTATAAATTAAAATTTATAGAAAAATGTATGTTTTTTTTTACTAGTACAAACCTTCGTCACTCCCTGGATTTCTCATTGTCCAATTGATGATAGTATCTGTATAATCAGGTAACACTTTTATCAGTTCAACCTTAGTAGTGTAACCTTCTGATTGGCCCTCTTTTTTTGTTTCTACTATCTTCCATAATTCTTCTTGTTCTTGTTCTATTATCTTCATTAGTTCTTCTTTTTCTTTTGGCTGGAATATATTCGTAAATTGCATTAAATTTTATTTAAAAATCTGTTGTACAAATTATTCAACTACAAAGAAAACACATCCTGGTTTAAAAAACTAAATTAAAAAAAAAATTTAGGCTCTCATAACTCAAAACCTTTGTTTTTTATCTCACCTCTACATTTATTCAAATTAAAAACTATTCTATTATGCTTATACGTGCGTTATTGAATGGAAATTGTGAATATTTTACTAGACATTAAAAACGAACAAAAAAAAAATTACAAAAAATTATTAATTCTAATTTAAAAAGTTTATATTTACTTCTATCCATATCTCTTCAATTTCGTTAGGCTGGAATATATTGAAAAATTGAATTAAATTAAATTTAAATATCTGTTATACACATTATTCAGCTTCAATGGAAATACATCCTGGCTCGAGTAACAAAATTTACAAATTACCCGGTTTTCATCTTTTTCAGGGCTTGACGCAAAGCTATGCAATAAAGCCTTAAATCTGGGCTTTTTTATTTTAAGTGATTCACCTAAATAGTTAATTAAATTAATACATTAAATTAAATACAAATGTTGTGTGTTACTTTTTATTCAGAAACATTATTAATTATTAAACGTTTTTCATCATTCGAAAAAAGTTTTTTTTTTCATAAATATATTTTATAAATAAATTTAAATTTATATTTAAAGAGAATGTACTTTTTCATTACTACAAACCTTCGTCACTTCCTGGATTTTCATTTAGCCAATTGTCGATCTTATCTTTTTGAACAGGTATCACTTTTGACAGATTGTCAGTGGTAGTGTAACCTTCTGATTGACCCTCTTCTTTTATTTCTATTATCTTCCAGATTTCCTCTTCTTTTTGTTCTGCTTCCTTTAATAATTCTTCAATTTCTTTTGGCTGTAATATATATTTATACATTGCATTTAAATATCGGTTATACCATTTATTTTTCATCTCCAATGAAACCACATCCTGGCTTTAGAAACGAAATTTACAAAAAAAATTTTGGTAATTACTTCCGTGTTTAGTTCTATCCATAATTCGTCTATTTCTATTGGCTTTTCAAGAGGGTCGTGGGGTTGCGCTATCAGACAATTAATACATATTAAACACATAACAATTGGATATTTTGCGTTCATTTTTTTCTGCTAGCTCAAAACTAAAATACGTCTTGTGTCTCTAAGTTGTAATACACAAGTTGGAAGAACACTGTGCACGCATGTTGTTCAAATAATAACATATTTTCATACTAACCAATATATATAGGATACCTACGCACGAATTTTTTCTGTTTGAAAAAAACATACGCAACCGATATTATGTTACCACTTACCTGTACACATTTTATAAACTAGGTACGAAATATCATCTGATTTAAAACACTATCCAAATGCTTCTCGACAGTAGACTAACAAACAAACTTTTTTTAACTTGACACCAATAATGTATAAAGCAAGCCTATAGATAATTCTTGAGTTAGGTTAGACTAGGACATCTTTCCCAATTTTAAAACAACGATAATATTGTACAACTTTGTTCAAAGAAAAATTTGTCCAATAAAATTACTTTTCTTAGATTTCGCTTTATAAGTTTTTTATTGCGAATAATTTTACTTTAATTAGTATCCAGTCATATAATATTTGGAATCAAATATTTTAAAATAATATTCCCTTCTGTTTTAGTTTTTACCTATTTAAAATGTGACGGAATACCATTTTTTTTATTTCTGACTCCTAAGCACCAACGTATGCAACGTTTTGTTATCGATTGACATGTTACTGCAGTTAATCGGCCCAGTAACCACTTTTTTTTGTAAAAGTTAAATTAAACTGTACTTGTAAAGTCCAGTCCATTTATCTGAAGACAATGTTTTTGCTTTTGTACATGATGTCTTTAAAACCGTTGCACTTATTTTTGAACACGTTTTTTTTTTTAGAAATTACCGTATATGTGTGGAAGTATGGAAACATATAAAATACATTATGAATTATTATAACAAGTCTGCATTTATTTATGTGATTGATTTTTATAGAAATAATAATATACTAATAATGTGATACAGATATTTAAAGTGATGAATTAATGAACTTAACAGTATTGAACTTTGTAAATGTCTTTTAAAAGCTTTTGGCGGTGCAATAGTTACTCGCCAATGGCATAATCGGTGGACCTTTCAACCGCTTCAAGAGCTTCAATAATATCTGATGTAAAATTTTGCATTAAATCATCAAATTCTGGCTTTGTTATTTTAATTGATTTTTCTAAATAGTTACAACACATATTAGATTTAAATTCACGTAATAGATAAATACATTTATATGGAACTGGACACATATATTTGGATTAACTGTGCGCTTTAAATAACAGGATTTTACTACAGACCTTTGGCATTTCCTTTGTTTTTCGTTATCCATTCCGATATCTCAACTGTATGACCAGATAACACTTTTATCAGATTGTCTTTAGTAGTGTAACCTTTTGATTGCCCCGCTTCTTTTATTTCTACTGTCTTCCAGATTTCTTCTTGTTTCTCTTCTACCTTCTTCATTAAATTATCCATTTCTCCGGTCTGGAATATATTCATGAACCGCATTAATTTTTATAAAAATGCTTGTTGTACAAATTAATCAGCTTCAATGAAAACACAATCTGGGTTTAGAAACGAAATTTACAAATACTCTTATTCGAATAAAAAATTATTTAATCATGCTTAAACTTGCTTATTTGAGTGAAAATTATAAACATTTTGCTGAAAATTTAGAATAAACGATTGGGAATTCACAGTACATGTAAAAATTACTTTAAACCATAATGATAATTGTATTTTCAGTAGTTGGGTAGATTCGGTTAAGTTTAAATTAAACTAGCATATAATTTGTTTTTAATAACAACCTGCGAATGTTTTTTTCTCTTGATAAAATATTAATTTTTACAACATAATTATACATAAATAAAATTCTAATTAAAAAAGATTTTTTTACAAAAAAGTTAATAATTACTTCTATCTTTAGTTCTATCCATAATTCTTCGATATCTGCTGGCGTGGATTTTGCTATCTGGCAACCAATACTTAATAAACACATAATAAATAGATGTTTCGCGTTCATTATTTTCTGCTAGCTCAAAACTTTAAAATACGTTTTGTTGGCTATAAGTTGTAATACGTAAGAAGAATAAAATCGTACACGTAATGTTGCAATAATATCGTGTTTTAATATTAAATAAAAAATGTATAATGTTCACCTATGATATTGTCGTTTTGAAAAAAACATATGCAGCAGATATTATGTTACCTGTACATGTTTTAGAAAATCCATACCGAGTTCTAACATATTTAAAATTTATACTATCTCAAGGCTTCTTGATAACATACTAACATATGTACATGTTTTTACTTGACGCCAAAAATATTAGGCGACGCCTATATAAAATAATATTGTTTCCCTAACGAACTACCAAGACTTAACTTCTTCATGTTACTAATAATTTTTTTTTTTTTTAAGCTCAAACTCAGTTAAACAATCTGTATAACTATTCGTATTGTAACAATTATTCGTTTCAAGCAACCTCTTTTTTTAATAATAATGTAAATTTAAATTTTAGCTTTGTAACGTTTTCAATCCCCCGCTTGAAAAAATAAAATGTCACATCAACCAAAATACAGATAGACTAAAGCTTTAACTGATTGTAATATAACTGTTTACTTTATTGCTGAAAAATAATACATTTTGAAATTGTTGCACTTATTTTTTAAAGTGATTATTATTAAACATTTTTTAATACATAGTGAAAGTGAAAACAATGTAAGTCTATTTTTAAAAGCTATGGGCGATGTAGTAGTTACTCGCAAATGTCATAATGGAAGGTTTAAGCTTCAAAGATAGGTGGATCAATTAGCTCCTTTAGGTCCTTCATAATCAAATGGAAGGTTTTGCATTAAATCTCTAAATTCCTGCTTTGTTATTTTAAATGGTTCATCTAAAACAGATCCAACACATATTAGATGAAAATTTACGAAATAGATAAATACAAGTTATATGTAGCATGACACGTATATTTGGGTTAGCTGTTGGCTTTAAAAAACATTTATTGTACTGTATTATTCATATTGTAGTAAGAATTCGTATACAAATGTGTGTAAACGACAAAATAGAAACTCTTTTTCATTAGTACAAACCTTTGTCATTTCCTCGCTTTTTCGCTATCCAATCCAAGATCCCACCTGTATGATCAGATAACACTTTTATCAGATCGTCTTTAGTAGTGTAACCTTCGGCTTGACCATCTTGTTTTATTTCTACTATCTTCCAGATTTCTTCTTGTTTCTGTTCTATCTTTTTCATTAATTCTTCCATTTCTTTTGTCTAGAATAAATTCATAAATTGTTTTAAACGATAAATATAATTGTATTTTTGTTGGTTGGGTTGATACGGTTAAGTTTAAATTAGAAAAACATATAACTTGTTTTTAATAAAATCCTGCGAATGTTTTTTTATCTCTTGATGAAATATTGATTTTTACAAAACAATTACACATAAACGATAACTCTAAAGATTTTTTTCAAAAAATGTTAATAATTACTTCTATCTTTAGTTCTATCCATAATTCTTCAATTTCTTTTGGCTGTAATATATAAATTTATAAATTGAATTAAACTGTATTTAAATATCGGTTATACCAATTAGTCTTCCTTAACACAGAGACTTTGTTTGCTATCCCACCACTACTTTTATTCAAATAATAAATTATTCGTGATTAAAACATGCTTATTCGGGTGGGAATTATGAATATTTTGCTGAACATTTAGAATAGTTCAATCGGAATTTTATAGTACATGTAAACATTTTTTTAAACTATAGAGCTTATTGTATTTTTAGTAGTAAAGTAGATACGTGATGGTTAAAATTATAAAATATTTTTTTTTTTAGAAAGCAGTGGTAGTTTACTATATTTTTGAATAAAAAACAGTGAATTTTTTTATCTCTGGAAGTACAAGACTGTACACAAAAGAATAACATATAAATAATATTTCTAATAAAAAAAAGGGTTGTTTCAAAAAAAAAAAAAAAAATGTTAAACCATTACTGTTTTTGACTATTGATTACAATATAATGATAGTAAATCACCTTGTCAAGATAATCTTGTGTGCTAGTAGAACATAATCCTAAATTCATCTTCTGAAAAAAATACAATTTTATACATATTGAGAATTAGGCATTTGGGCGACATTTTTTCTGCTCTAGCTATAACATTTCAGTTACCCGTTTCTTATGCTTTACAGGACTTGGTTCAAGGCTTTGCAATAAAGCTTTAAATCTGCACTTTCTTATTACGAATGATTCATCTAAATAGTTACAAGATATATTGGATTAAAATTCACGAAATATTTAAATAGTTTTAATATGCAACCGAAGATACATTGAAATAACTGCAAAAATTTATAAATTTGTTGAATGTGAAATTTGTGTATTATTTCTGAATCAGAAACTATTTATTATTAATTGTCTTTCAACATTCAAAAAAAGTTCTATCACTAAAATTATTTGAATTGTGTTTTATTTGTAAATTTAAATTGAATGGTCTTTTGCATTACTACAAACCTTCGACATTTCCTGGATTTTTATGTAGCCACTTGATGATCTTATCTGTTTGATCAGGTAACGCTGTTAACAGATAGTCAGAGATAGTGTAACCTACTGGTTGACCATCTTTTTTTATTTCTATAATCTTCCAAATTTCTTCTTCTTTTTCTTCTACTTCCTTCAATAATTTATTAATTTCTTTTGGCTGTAATGTATTTTTAAAAATTATACAAAATTTAAATATCTGGCACAGAAATTATTATTCAGCTCCAATGAAAACATAATTTGGCTTTAGAAACAAAATTTACGGAAAAATCATAGGCTTTCCGAAGTCAGAAACCTTTGTTTTTTTATCCCGTCACTACTTTTATTTAAATAATACATTTTTGAACAATGCTTAAACTTGTTTATTTGAGTAAGAATTATAAGTGTTTTATAACATTGCGTACACAAACATGGTATGTATAAATAATAATTCTAGTTAAAAAATATTTAAATTCAAAAAAAGTTAATCTTTACTTTTATTTTTAGTTCTACCCATAATTCTTCTATATCTGTTGGCGCGGATTTTGCTATCTGACAACTAATACTTAATAAGCACATCACAAATAAATGTTTCGCGTTCATTATTTTCTGCTAGTTCAAAACATTAAAATACGTCTTTTTGTCTCTAAGTCGGGATACGTAAGCAGAATAAAATCGTGAACGGTAGTGATCAAATAATAAGCATGTGTTCGTATTCAACAAAAAAAAATGTAATGTTCACCAATGAAATTATCGGCTTGAACAAACATATGCAACAGATATTATGTTACCTGTACACGTTTCATAAAATCGATACCAAGTTCTAATATATTTAGAATATATTATATACTATCTCAAGGCTTCTTGAAAACGTACTAACATAATATGTACATATTTTTACTCAACGCCAAAAATATTAATTTTTCAAGCTCAAAGTCAGTTAAACAATCTGTATATCGTACAATTATTCGTTTTAGGCAACCATTTTTTTTTATAGTAATAGTGTAAATGTAAATTTTAGCTTCTTAACGTTTTCAATCCCTCGCTTAAAAAAAAAAAAAGTCACATCAACCAAAATACAGTTTTTTTTTTTAAATACAAATTTGAGTTGTTGTTAATGTACGACACAAATGTCTAAATCTAAAATGCTTTTTTGAGAATGGATGATTATCAAAGGTTTTTTGTACAGCTTTAGAAAAACTAAAGCTTTAATCAAACAAGTCACTATACTATAACTGTATTACTAATTTACATATTTTAATAATACTTTCTATATAAAAAGAGTATAATAATTAGAGGAGTACATGTTTTAGACTAAAATAGTTTAACTATTATGACGAGTTGCATTTACGTTGAATAAAAATATCTTCATGTTCGGAGTTAACTATACTTTTTATCTTTTTTCTGAAAAAAATAAACACATAGGTATTAAAAATTAGGTTAGGTGACATTTTTTCTGCTCTAGTTTTAACATTTAAATTACCCGTTTCTTATTCTTTTCAGGACTTGGTTCAAGGCTTTGCAATAAAGCCATAAATCTGTGTTTTTTTATTATGATTTTTTCAACTAAATATTAACAACATATTAAATTAGACTAAAATTGACAAAATATTTAGTTTAGAAATGGAATCGACGATATATACAGGGTGATCCAACTAACGTAAGACACTCATTTACTCGGAAAATAAGAATATTTTGAAAAAAAATTGTCTTATTTTATTTTATTTTAAAATATGTGATCGTTTGAATTAATAATTTTCATCCATCTAGTCGTTAGCTTTGTAAAGATATTACATTTTCTCTTAAATATTGTTATATTTCTTTGGTTTTCCAAAGACCGGGAGCCAATAAAATACTTATTTATGATCGCATTGTCCGATAGGTGTGTACACAGATGAGTGTCTTACGTTAGTTGGATCACCCTGTATGTATGAGATAACTGTTTTTTAAAACAGTTCTAAATGAAAACTTAACCATACAGATAAAACATGTGAAATTTGTGTATTACTTTTTAATCAGAATCTCCTATGATTATTAATCGTTTTTCAAAATTCAAAAAAAAATTTGTATTATAATGTATAATAAAATTGATTGTTCTTTTTCATTACTACAAACCTTCGCCACTGCCTGGATTGTCGTGCAGCTACTGGATAGTCTTATTTGGTTGATCGGGTAACACCATTAACACATCGTCTATTATAATATTTATATATAGTGTGACGGTATAGAGTTTGTTTATTTTAATCACTAAGTACTAATTGCATACGGTTTGTAATCGATAGACATGCTATTAAAGTAAATCGGTCCAGTATAACAATATTTTTGGTAAAAATAATATTAATTTTTATTTGACCTTTTAGTTCTCTCTTTAAAGTCCGGTCCATTTATCTGACGATAATGTTTTTGGTTTTGTACATGATTTCTCTAAAATCACTGTACTGACTTTTTAGAACGATTATTTTTAAAAATTAATTTTTGTGGAAGTATGGAAAGAATAATATACACAATGAGTTATTCTAACAAGTCGGTATTTATTTATACATATATTATTGATTGATTTTTATACAAATAATAATATTCTAGATTATATCATGTGTTACAGACATTCCAAACACATTAAAAGTGATTATTATTGAAATTTATAAAATATTACTATGAATGTCAAAACAGTTTAAATGTACTTTTCAAAGCTATTGGCGATGCAGCAGTTACTCGCAAATGGCAAAATCTATCGTTCAATCTACAAAGGTCGATGGATTTTCTTCTAAATGTTTATTTAGTGCCTTTAGCGCTTCAAGATCCAAAGGAATGCTTTGCACTAAGTCTTTAAACTCCTCTTTTGTTATTTGAAATGAACCACCTAAATAGTTCCAACACATATTAGATTAAAATTGACGAAACATTTAAATAGTTTTAATATGGTATTATTATTTGGAATTTATGTTGACTTCAAACAACTTTTTTTAAATAGGAACTTACTATACTAATAATAAAATAAATTTTAAACTTTTTTAGCTGTGAAATATTTGTATTACTTTTGAATCAGAATCTCCGATTACTATTAATCCTTTTCCCACATTCAATACAATTTTTTATATTTATATTTAAATTTAAATGTTTTTTTATATTTTTTTGTACGAACTTTCGTTGCCTTCTGCATTTTTTTCTATCCATTGGAATACGGCCCCAACTGTATGAACAGGTAATGCTTTTATTACTTCGGTTCTGGTAGTAAAGCCTAGGCGTTTTTCTTTTGATTCAACTGTATCTTTTAGTTCTAAGATTTTCCATAGTTTTTCTATTTCTATTGGCTGAAAATATTAACGAATTGCTAGTACATGTAAACATTTTTTATAATCAAAAATATAATCGTATTTTCAGTAGTAAAGTATATACGGGTAAGTTTAAATTATATAGTATTTTTTTTTTTTAAATCATCTCATGGTGACAGCGTTGGCCCGTTAAACTTGATGATGCCTATTGCATATTTTTGAACAAAAAATAGTGAATTGTTTTATCTCTTGAAGTACAAGATTGTACACAAAAGAATTACTTATAAATAATTTCTCTAATTAAAAAAAAAGTTGTTTAAAAAAAAAAGTTAAATCATTACTGTTTTAGACTATTGATTACAATATAATGATAATAAATCACCTTGTCGAGATAATCTTGTGTGCTAGTAGAACATAATCCAACATTTTTTTTCTAAAAAAATAATATTTTTTACATATTAGAATCATTTTTTCTGCTCTAGTTATAACATTTAAGTTAAATTTTAAAAATATAGAATGAAATTATATAGAAATGCCTGTTATACAAATGAATCAGCTTCAATGAAAACACAATTTGTGTCTAGAAACGAAATTTACAAAAAATCTTTGGCTTTTTTAAGTCAGAAACATTTGGTCTTCCAAATCCCATCACTACTCTTATTCTAATAAAAAATTACTCAATCATGCATAAACTTGCTTATTTGAGTGGAAATAACATTTGCTGAAAATTTAAAATAGACGATTGGGAATTCATAGTACATGTAAAAATTGCTTTAAACCATAATGATAATTGTATTTTCCGTAGTTGGGTAGATTCGGTTAAGTTTAAATTATAATAGCATATAATTTGTATTTAATAAAAACTTGCGAATGTTTTTTATCTCTTGATAAAATATTGATTTTTACAACATAATTACACATATATTAAAATTCTTATAAAAAAAGATTTTTTTCCAAAAAAGTTTATAATTACTTCTAACTGTAGTTCTACCCATAAATCGTCTATATCTACTGGCGGGGATTTTGCCATCTGACAACTAATACTTAATAAGCACATAATAAATAGATGTTCCGCGTTCATGTTTTTCTGCTAGCTCAAAACTTTAAAATACGTCTTTTTACCTCTAAGTCGGGATACGTAAGCAGAATAAAATCGTGCATGGTTTTGATCAAATAATAGTATGTGTTCGTATCAAAAAAAAAAAAAAAAAATAGAATATTCACCCATAAAATTATCGGTTTGAACAAACATATGCAACAGATATTATGTTACCTGTACATGTTTTAGAAAATCCATACCAAGTTCTGATATATTTAAAATATATACTTTCTCAAAGTTTCTTGATAACATATACTATTTACGTAGATGTTTTTTACTCGACGCCAAAAATGTTAAGTGACGCCTATATAAAATAATATTGTTTCCCGAACGAACTACCAAGACTTAACTTCTTCATGTTAATAATAATTTTTTTTTTCAAGCTCAAACCCAGTTAAACAATCTGTATATCATACAATATTCGTTTTAGGCAACCTTTTTTTTTAGTAATAATGTAAATGTAATATTTAGCTTCTTAACGTTTTTAATCCCTCGTTTAAAGAAAAGAAAATATCACATCAACCAAAATGCAAAATTTATAATATTTTTTTTAGTCATTTGGGTGGTTTTTAGCGTATGACACAAATGTCTTGATCTAAAATGTTATTTTGACAATGAACAATTATACGACTATCAATGGTTTTTTTGTACAGTTTTAGAAAAAAACTAAAGATTTGATCAAACAAGTCACTATATTATAAGTGTATACTTTATTGATAACAAATAATACATTTTGAAATTTAAATATTTAATTAATACTTTCTATACAAAAGAGTATAATATTTAGAGGAATACATATTTTAGACTAAACTATTATGACGAGTTGCATTTACGTTAATTAAAAATATCTTCATGTTCGGAGTTAACTATAATTTTTTATCTGTTTTCTGAAAAAAATAAACACATAGGTATTAAAAATTAGGTTAGGCGACATTTTTTCTGCTCTAGTTTTATCGTTCAAGTTACCCGTTTCTTATTTTTTTCAGGACTTGGTTCAAGACTTTGCAATAAAGCCATAAATCTGTGTTTTTTTATTATGATTTTTTCAGCTAAATATTAACAACATTATATTAGACTAAAATTTACAAAATATTTAATTTATTTTAAAATGGAACTGACGATGAAATTTGTGTCTTGCTTCTGAATCAGAAACTCTAATTATTATTAATCGTTTTTCAACATTCAAAAAAAGTTCTATCATTATAATTATTTGAATTATGTTTTATTTATAATTTTCAATTGATATTAAAATTGATTGTTCTTTTTCATTACTACAAACCTTCGTCACTTCCTGGATTTTCATGTAGCCACAGGATAATCTTATCTAGTTGATCGGGTAACATCCTTAACACATGGTCAGGGGTAGTGTAACCTTTTGGATCACCGTCTTCTTTTACTTCTATTATATTCCAGATTTCTTCTCTCTTTTGTTCTACCTTCTCCAACATTTCTTTTATTTCATTTTGCTGGAATATATTCATGAATCGCATTAAATTAAATTTAAAAATATATTACACAAATTTTACACATATTTTGAAGAAGAATGGAAAATTTGGTACATTAAGCATTTTTTTAACCCACAATGGTAATTTTATTTTTAGTAGTTGGGTGATTTTAAATAATGATGACTTTTTTTTTTTTTTTAAAGCAGTGAATGTATTTTTACCCCATCAGGTTTGTACCCAAAACAATTTAATATTATTAATAATTACTCTAAATAAAAATTGTTAGCCATTATTGTTTTAGAATAATGATAATAAATCACCTTGTCATCTTGTGTGCTAGTCGAAACTGCAATTTTTTTCTGAAAAATACAGATTAAGAATAAATAAATATTATGAACTAGAGTATAGGCGTCTTTTTTTCTGCTTTAGTTTAAAACTTAGTTACCCCTTTTCGATCCTCTTCGGGAGGGTCGTTGGATTTCGCTGTCTGACAATGAATAACTATTAAACATATTATAGTTAGATACTTTGCGTTCATTATTCCTTGCTAGTTCAAAACTTTGAAATTCGTCTGGTAGGTAATACAATGAAAAATATATGATATTCATGTGACGCAGTGGCTGGTACTTATAGTGAGTTATTCGTTAAGGTTCAAACATACTTTATTTATCAAGTGTGACAGGTATTTTTGTGTTTGCTGTCGACACAAAAAGATATTATTAAAAAAAAAATGTCATTTACGTTGTATTGTTTTCAAGAGTTATCATAAGTACTATTTAATACATTTTAAATAAATCCACAGTTTCTACTGATTTTCGGGAATTTTTGTAAGTATTGTAAGATTGTAAGTTTTTTATGGTCGTATTAAAAACGACTTAGCTTGTAGAAGTGCTTGAAACGTTGATTAAAAATACCTTTCATTGTCGGAGTTAACTCACAGACAATAATACTCCTCACCGCCCCATCTATACAATATCACATAGACAAGTTCAAACCGGTCGACTGCTAGCTGACTTTTTCTATGAAAAAGTTCATGCCTTTGTTGATGAAAAATAATTGAATATAAAAAAAAAAAAAATTGCTCACCTTTAGCTTTTACTTAAACCGATCCGGTACAACAGTAATATTGGTTTTTGACTTGACTGTACATGAATAATAGGTACACTCAAATAATATAACCTTATCTGTGTTTTTGGTCCAGTAACAATACTTTTGGTAAAAATTATAATAAATTTTATTTGACCGTTTGGACCTCTCAAAGTCCAGTTCAATTCTTCGAGTATAATGTTTTTGGTATTTTAGAAATTAATATGTGTGGTAGTGTGGAAAAAATAATTTACACACTATGAATTATTATAACAAGTCAGCATTTATTTATATTATTGATAATTATAGAAATAATAATACACTAATAATGTGTTACAGATATTTAAAGTGATTATTATTAAAATTTGTAAAATATTACTAAGAATGTGCAAACAATTTAAATGTAGATTTGAAAGCCATTGGCAATGCAGTAGTTACTCGCGAATGGCAAAATCGATCGTTCAATCTAAAAAGGTCGGTGGATTTTCTTCTAAATGTTTATTTAGCGCCTTTAGCGCTTCAAGATCCAATGGAAGCCACTGCATTAGGTCTGTGAAGTTGTTCTCCGTTAATTGAAATTGACCACCTATACAGTTACAATACATATAAGATTAAAATCCATGAAATATTGAAATAGTTTTAATATGGTACCGGACTCATATATTTGGGATAGGTGTTGACTTCAAACAACAGTTTTAAATAAAAACATACCACACTGATAACAAAATGAATTTTAAACTTTTATAGCTGTGAAATATTTGTATTACTTTTGAATCAGAATCTCCGATTATTATTAATCCTTTTTCAACATTCAATAAAATGGTTTATATTTAAATTAAAATGTAATATTTTCTTTCATTAGTACAAACCATCGGTTTCCATCCATTTGAGTATCTCATCTGTATATTTTGGTAACACTTTTATTATTTCGGTTATGGAAGTGGAGCCTCGGCGTTTTTCTTCTGATTCAACTATGTCTTTTAGTTCTACAATCTTCCATATTTTTTTTATTTCTACCATCTGAAATATATTCATGAATAGCTTTAGTTTTTATACGAAAATCTGTAGAACTAAAATATGCGGCTTATTTAAATAAAAAAACTTTTCAATTGTTCTTAAACATGCTTATTCGAGTGGGAATTATGAATACATATTTTTCTGTACATTTAGAATAGTTTAGTGGGAAATTTATAGTACATCCAAAAAAAATGTTTTAACCCTTTTTTAAACATAATAATTGTATTCTCAGTAGTAAATTAGGTAGTACAGGTAAGTTTAAATTATAAACTTCTTTTTATTTAAAGCCATGAATTATAGCATATTTTTGAACAAATAACAGTGAATTTTTGTTATCTCTTGAAGTACAATATTGTACACAAAAGAATTACATATAAATAATTTTTCTAGTTAAAAAAGAAGGTTGTTTAAAAAAAATTAAATCATTACTTGTTTTATACTATTAATTACAACATAATGGCAATAAATCACCTTGTGAAAATAAGAGAAGTCTTGTGTGTTAGTTGTACATAATCCTAAATCTTTCTTCTGAAAAAAAAAACAATTTTTACACATTAAGAATTAGGCATTTGGGTGTAATTTTTTCTGCTCTAGGTATAACAATTAAGTTACCGGTTTCTTATGCTTTTTAGGTCTTGGCTCAAGACTTTGCAATAATGCTATAAATCTGCCCTTTTTTATTATTAAAAAATCATCTAAATAGTTACAACATATATTATATTACAATTTACGAAATATTTAAATAGTTTTTAAATTTGTTATTTTTTTTAATCTAATGTTTTTTTTATTACTACAAACCTTCGTCACTTCCTGGATTGTCCTTTAGCCAATTGATGATCTCATCTGTTTGTTCGGGCAACGCCCTTAACACATGATCAGTGGTAGTGTAACCTTTTGGATCACCGTCTTCTTTTACTTCTATTATATTCCAGATTTCTTCTCTCTTTTGTTCTACCGTCTCCAACATTTCTTTTATTTCATTTTGCTGGAATATATTCATGAATCGCATTAAATTAAATTTAAAAATATATTACACAAATTATTCGCATTCTGGTTTTAGGAACAAATTTACAACAAAAATTATTTGAGTGGGAATATTATTATACATTTGTTTAAATTAAATATTTTTAAATCCTGCTTAACATGCTTATTTGAGTTAAAATTATGTATATTTTGTTGAACATTGAGAATAGACGAATGGAAAATTTAAAGTACATGTAAAAATTTCTTTAGGTAATGTATTTTTATTCCCTTAAGTTTTTTACAAATTAATTAAGTATAAATAATTATTCTAAATACGAAATATTTAAAAAAAAAAAATATTTTTTTTGTTCTACCTTCTTCAACATATGTTCTATTTTTTTTTGCTGGAATATATTCATGAATCGCATTAAATTTAATTCAAAAATCTATTTTACAAATTATTTGCCTTTAAAAAAAACACATCCTGGTTTTAGGAATAAAATTTACAGCAGATTTTCTTGACTCAAGAACGTCGTATATTATCCCATTAATACCTGTTACTCAAATAGTTAGAATTAGGAATAATTTGATGATCAGTGTGAATAGACGAATAGAAAATTTAAAGTTCATGTAAATATATCTTTAGCTAATGTATTTTTATCCCCTTAAGTTTTTTTACAAAACAATTAAATATAAAAATGATTTTAAATAAAAAAATATTAAAAAAAAAAAAATGTTAGTCATTAAGGTTGTAGACTATTGATACAACTTAATGTTAATAAATCACCTGGTCATCTTGTGCGCTAGTCGAAGCTACTACAATACTTTTCTGAAAAATACAAATTTAGAATAAATAAATATTATGAATTAGATATATGGGCTTCATTTTTTTGCTCTAGTTTAAAACTTTAAAGTTACCCCTTTTCGATCCGCTTCAGGACGGTCGAATGATTTCACTGTCTGACAATGAATAACTATTAAACACACTATAATAGTTAGATGTTTCGCGTTCATTTTTCCTTGCTGGCTTAAAACTTTGAAATTCGTCTGGTAAGTAACAAAATGAAAACTATATGATATTCTAGTGGCGCACTGGCTGCTATTTATAGTGAGTGGTTCGTTAAGGTTCATACATACTGTAATTAAAACGCGTGACAGGTATTATTTTGTTATCGACACAAAAATATATTATTAAAAAAAAATTTGATTTATGTTGTATTGGGTTTTAATACAATTTAATAAATTTTAAATTAATCTACTTAATTTATGCTGATTTTCGGGAATTCGTAACTGTCGTTGTTTGTAAGTTTTATGGGCACTACTTGAGCCGTCGGTAGGTGACAGTGGTTTTCATCCATACGGTGATGGGGGAGGGCGGGAATTTTTGATCAGTCTTACTTTCTTGATTTTCAAAAAAATTGTAAAGAAATCGAGACTTTAACATTAAAATCTTGTTGAGAATAAGAAAAAATACCAAAAGGTACACACTAAAAATTATGTGTTAAATATGTCTGTCTATCTTATATAAAAATCTCTTTTCATTGATTTCGCTTTATAAGTTTTTAATTGCCAAACATTTTAGTTAAATTAGTATCCAGTCGGATAATTTTTGGATTAAAATATATATATTTTTTATTTATATAAAGTGTGAAGGTATATAGTTTGTTTGACTTCTAAGTACTAATTGCATACGGATTGTAATCGCTAGACATGCTATTGGAGTAAATCGGTCCAGTATAACAATATTTTTGGTAAAAATAATATTAATCTTTATTTGACGTTTTGGATCTCTCTTTAAAGTCCGGTCCATTTATCTGACGATAATGTTTTTGGTTTTGTACATGATTTTTCTAAAATCACTGTACTGACTTTTTAGAACGATTATTTTTAGAAATTAATTTGTGTGGAAGTATGGAAAGAATAATATACACAATGAGTTATTATAACAAGTCGGTATTTATTCATACATATATTATTGATTGATTTGTATACAAATAATAATATTCTAGATTATATCATGTGTTACAGACATTCCAAACACATTAAAAGTGATTATTATTGAAATTTATAAAATATTACTATGAATGTCAAAACAATTTAAATGTACTTTTCAAAGCTATTGGCGATGCAGCAGTTACTCGCAAATGGCAAAATCTATCGTTCAATCTACAAAGGTCGATGGATTTTCTTCTAAATGTTTATTTAGTGCCTTTAGCGTTTCAAGATCCAAAGGAATGCTTTGCACTAAGTCTTTAAACTCCTCTTTTGTTATTTGAAATGAACCACCTAAATAGTTCCAACACATATTAGATTAAAATTGACGAAACATTTAAATAGTTTTAATATGGTATTATTATTTGGAATTTATGTTGACTTCAAACAACTTTTTTTAAATAGGAACTTACTATACTGATAATAAAATAAATTTTAAACTTTTTTAGCTGTGAAATATTTGTATTACTTTTGAATCAGAATCTCCGATTACTATTAATCCTTTTTCCACATTCGATACAATTTTTTATATTTATATTTAAATTTAAATGTTTTTTTATATTTTTTTGTACGAACTTTCGTTGCCTTCTGCATTTTTTTCTATCCATTGGAATACGGCCCCAACTGTATGAACAGGTAATGCTTTTATTACTTCGGTTCTGGTAGTAAAGCCTAGGCGTTTTTCTTTTGATTCAACTATGTCTTTTAGTTCTAAGATTTTCCATAGTTTTTCTATTTCTATTGGCTGAAAATATTAACGAATTGCTAGTACATGTAAACATTTTTTTAAACTATAGAGCTAATTGTATTTTTAGTAGTAAAGTAGATACGGGTAGGTTTAAATTATTTTTGAATAAAAAAAGAGTGAATTTTTTAAGTACAAGATTGTACACAAAATAATTACATTTATATATATATACTTTCTAATTAAAAAAAAAATTGTTTCAAAAACTAAAAGTTAAATCATTACTGTTTTAGACAATCAACATAATGATAATAAATCACCTTGTCAAGATAAGACCAGTCTTGTGTGCTAATAGAACATAATCCTAAATCTTTCTTCTAAAAAAAAAAAATTTTTTACATATTAGAATCATTTTTTCTGCTCTAGTTATAACATTTAAGTTACCCGTTTCTTGGTTGCAAGGCTTTGCAATAAAGCTTTAAATCTGGGCTTTTTTATTATGAATGTTCCAAATTCTAAATTGTGACAACGTAAATTAGATTAAAATTAACGAAGTATTTAATTATTTTTAATATGCAACCAAATATAAATATGTGAGATAATTATGTATTTAAAACAACAGTTCTAATTTGAAGCTTACAATACTAATAATAAAATAAATGTTTAACGCTTTTGGGTGTGAATTTTGTGTACTATTTTTAAATCAGAAACTCAAATTGTTATTAATCGTTTTTCAACATTCGAAGAAAGTTTTTTTATTACAATTGTATTAAAATCTATAATAAAATTAAATGTTTTTTTTATGACTACAAACCTTCGTCACTTCCTTGATTTTCACAAAGCCAATCGATGATCTTTTTTGTTTGATCAGGTAAAACTATTATCAGATCGTCTGTGGTAGTGTAACTTTCTGTCTGACCTTCTTGTTTTATTTCTACTATCTTCCAGATTGCTTCTTGTTTCTGTTCTACCGTCCCCAATAATGCTTCTATTTCTTTTGGCTGTAATATATATTTACACATTGCATAAAATGTACATTTAAATATCGGTTATACCATTTATTTTTCATCTCCAATGAAAACACATCCTGGTTTTAGAAACGAAATTTGCAAAAAAAATGTTGGTAATTACTTCTGTGTTTAGTTCTATCCATAATTCGTCTATTTCTTTTTGCTGGAATATGTTCATGAATCACATTTAATTTTATTTAAAAATCTGGTATACAAATTATTTGTCTTAAATCAAAATGCATCCTGGTCCAAATCATTTGAGTTGGAATATTATAATGTTTTTGCTATCATATCACTATTTTTATTCAAATGAAATACTATTAAATCATGCTTAAACTTGCTAATATTTGAGTTAGAATTAGGAACTTTAAGAATAGACGAATGGAAAATTTTAAGTACATTAAACATTTCTGTAAATCATAATGATAATTTTATTTTCAGTAGTGGATTTAAATTATAAATTAAATTTTTTTTTTTTTAAAAAAACGCGAGTCGTTACGGTTTTAGACTATTGATACAACTTAATGTTAATAAATCACCTTGTCTTCTTGTGCGCTAGTCGAAACTACAATACTTTTCTGAAACATAAAAAAATATGTAGGATAAATAAATATTAAGAATTAGACATATAGGCGTCATTTTTTCTGCTCTAGTTTAAAACCTAGTTACCCCTTTTCGATCCTTTTCGGGAGGGTCGTTGGATTTCGCTGTCTGGCAATGAATAAATATTAAACATATAATAGTTAGATATTTCGCGTTCATTTTCCTTGCTAGCTTAAAACTATGAAATTCGTCTGGTTGGTAACAAAATGAAAAATATATGATATTCAAGTGGCGCAGTGGCTGGTATTTATAGTGAGTTGTCGGTTAAGGTTCAAACATACTGCAATTTAAACGCGTGACAGGTATTTTTTTGTTTGTTATCGATTCTTAAATATATTATTTAAAAAAAATTTGATTTATACTATATTGATTTTTAGAGTATTTATAAATCTACAATTTATACTAAGTTTCCACAAATTCCACTTTGTGTTATGTGTAATATTTTACTACTTTCTGTAATATTAAGAGGGCGTCGCACCGCCCATTTTTAAGGAGTAAAGTAAAGGCAAGTTTTTAAAAAATCTTAATTTAAAGGTTAAACTGTGATGTGTAATTATTAATTTAATAACTAGGACTCTATTTTGGTAGTTAGTTTATTTTTTGGACTATCACAGCATCCTTGAAAGCGATTTAAAAATGTTTTTTTATCTGGGACCCTGGGACTTTTTGATACTTTCTAATATCAAAGGTTTTATCTATAATCTCTTGCCTCACCTCCGGCATGCAGCTAGACCATCTCATCATCCAGCTGGACCATCTCTTAACTCTAATCTCTTATCTTTTTTTTTATCTCTAATCTAGTATCTCTCCCTAAGACTATCTTATCCCTAAGAGGACTATGAAGGGATTATGAAAGAATTATGGAGGAGAATTATGAAGTATGATTAACAGAAATAGTCCGGTTCATTTATCTGGTTTTGGTTTTTGGTTTTGTACATAATGTCTCTAAAATCGTTGTACTGACTTTTTAGAAAACAATATGTGTAAAAGTATGGAAAAAATAATGTACACCCTATGAGTTATTATAACAAGTCGGCATTTTTTTATATTATTGATTGATTTTTATACAAATAATAACATACTTATGATGGGTTATAGACATTTTAAACACATCTTTTTAAGTGATTATTATTAAAATTTGTAAAATATTACTATGAATGTGAAAACATATTAAATGTACTTTTAAAAGCTATTGGCGGTGCAGTAGTTACTCGCTAATAGCAAACTGAAGGTTTAATCTAAAAAGGTCGATGGATTTTCTGCTAAATGTTCATTTAGCGCTATTAGCGCTTCAAGACTTATTGGAATGTATCGCATCAAGTCTTGAAATTTGTCCTTTGTTATTTCGAATAGACCACCTAAATAGTTACAACATTAATTAGATTAAAATTAACGAATTATTTAAATAGTTTTAGTATGGTACCCGAGACATATATTTTGTATAAACAACAGTTCTAAATGTAAACTTACTAAATACTGATAATAAAAAATGTTTTATACTTTTTTAGCTGTGAAATATTTGTATCACATTTGTATTAGAATCTCCGATTATTATTAATCCTTTTTCAACATTCGATAAAATGGTTTATGTTTATATTAAAATGTAATGTTTTCTTTCATTAGTACAAACCATCGTTTTCTATCCATCCGAATATCTCATCTGTATATTTAGGTAACACTTTTATCACTTCGGTTCTGGTAGTGTAGTTTGGGCGTTTTACTTCTGATTCGTCTATGTCTTTTACTTGTATTTTCTTCCATAATTTTTTTACTTCTATCATCTGAAATATATTTATGAATTTATTTAGTTTTTTTTTAAAAAACCTGTCGTACTAAAATATGTAGCTTATTTAAATAAAAAACTATTTAATCGTTCTTCAACATGCTTATTTCAGTGAAAATAATGAACATTTTTTGACATTTAGAATAGATCATAAGGAAATTTATAGTACATCTAAACATGTTTTTAAACCATAAAGATAATTGAATTTTGCAGTAACAAAGTAGATACTACTTAGGTAGGTTTAAGTTATATAATATTTGTTTTCAATAAGCAGTGATATAAAGCATATTTTTTAATAAATAACAGTAAACTGTTTTTTTAACACATATTAGTATTTAGGCGTTAGGGCGTCATTTTTTCTGTCCTAGTTACAAATTTTAAGTTACCCGTTTTTGTTCATTTTCAGGATTCGGTTCAAGGTTTTGCAATAAAGCTCTAAATCTGGGCTTTTTTATTATGAATGTTCCATCTAAATAGTAATAACATGTATAAGATTAAAATTTAAGAAATATTATATTAGTTTTATATGCAACCGAAGAAATAGATATATGATAACTATTACTTTTACACAACATTTCTAAATTGAAACTAACAATACTAATATAAAAAAAGAATTTAACTGTACTGGGTGTGAAACTTGTGTATTACTTTTTAATCAGAAAATCCAATTTTTATTAATAGTGTTTCAACTTTCAAAAAAAGTATTTTATTATAATTATTTGAATTATGGTTCAACTATAAATTTTTATTTTTATTCAAATTGAATGTTCTTTTTCACTACTACAAACCTTCGTCACTTCCTGGATTTTCATTTAGCCAGTTGACTATCTTATCTGGTTGATCAGGTAACACCTTTAACAGAGTGTCTTTGGTAGTGTAACCTTCTGATTGACCCTCTTTTTTTATTTCTACTATCTTCCAGATGTCTTCTTCTCTTTCTTCTACCTTCTTCAATAATTCTTCTATTTCTTTTTGCTGGAATATATTAATTAATGAATCGCATTAAATTTAAAATCCTTTTTACAAATTATTCGCCTTTAATAAAAACACATCCTGGTTTTAGGAATAAAATTTACAACAAATTTTCTTAACTCAAGAACGTCGTTTATTATCCCATCAATACCTGTTATTCAAATAGTTAGAATTAGGAATAACTTGATGAACAGTGTGAATAGACGAATGGGAAATGTAGAGTACATGTAAACATTTCTCTAGCGAATGTATTTTTATCCCCTAAAGTTAGTACACAAAACAATTAAATTTATATATAATTATTTTATATTAAAGAATAATTTTTTCAAAAAAATATTTATCAATACGGTTTTAGACGGTTTTGGTACAACTTAATGATAAAAAATCACCTTGGCCTCTTGTTCGCTAGTCGAAGCTACCACAATACTTTTCTGAAAAATAAAATTTAAGAACAAATAAGTATTAAAAATTACAGATATAGGCGTCATTTGTTCTGCTCAAGCTTAAAATCTAGTTACCCCTTTTCGATCCTCTTCGGGAGGGTCGTTGGATTTCGCTGTCTGGCAATGAATAACTATTAAACATATAATGGTTAGATATTTCGCGTTCATTTTCGTTGCTAGTTTAAAACTTTGATTTTTGTCTGGTTGGTAACAAAATGAAAAATATATGATATTCAAGTGGCGCATTGGCTGGTATTTATAGCAAGATATTCGTTAAGGTTAAACTACTGTAATTTAAACGTGTGACAGGTATTTTGCTGTAGACACAATAAGATGTTATTTAAAAAAAAAATTGATTTATATTGAATTTGTTTCAAAAGTTTTCGTACAATTAAGTACATTTAAAATAAATCAACAATTTATACTGATTTTCGTGAATTTTCGTAAACTTTGTACGAAGTTTTATGGACACTATACTTGCGCCTTCGGCAGCGGACAGTGGTTTTCATCCATACGGGAAGGGTGGGAGGGAGAATGATTTTTGTAAATGTTTAATTACTTGATTTAAAAAAAAAATTGTTTAGGGTCGTATTAGAAACGCCTTTGCATATGAAAGTGCTCGAAACTCATAATATTAACTAAATAGACTTAACTAGTCACTAATTTAATATTAATGTTTGATAATAATAATATTAGTGCAATTATTGTACTAACTATTGAAAAACTAATTTGATCAAAATCTTTTTTAAAATATTTAGGCTTGGTATGTTCATGTGCTCCTCAGTTTTGCATTTAACTATTTTCTAAATACATGACTTTATGTTATATGCGATATTTTACTACTTTCTGTAATATTAACACAAATATTTTCAGCGTTAAAATATACATGACTAACATTAAATCTATTGGACTTTTTAAAAAATAAAACAAAGTAACGTAATCATACTAATAGTAAAATAAACAGTTTTATAATTTTGTAACAAGTGATATTGAGACTTGTTTCACAAAAATAGTGTAAATTATTCTCTTATTTAACATAATTCCGCAAGCAAAACTACTTCAATACCTCCTAAAACTAAACAAGTAGAATTTATCTATTTCACGAATTAATATTCGCTAGACACAACTTGGTTTGATCTTACTATAATATATAAAATATATATATTTTTAAATGATTCTCCAAAAATGTATGATCAATTCTACAAGCCGATTTCGACTTGGCAAACGTTTTTTGGTTTATCAACGTTTTTCGATAGTAATTTTTCATTTAAAGAATATTGCATGTAAACTGTTTTGGCTATTTTATTTGATGCTCGGTTTAAAGAGTAAACCATATAAATTAGATACTGAATGGACTATTTAAAAAAATTGTATAGCGCCTTAAGTAGTTTTTGTGTATTTTAAAGGGTAGAGAATGAACACAAGTTGCTATCAAATTTGTCTGTAATTTACCTATTTTAGTTGTATGACTAATATATATATTCGTCACCCGTAAAACAGAAATCGTTTGAAAAATAAAAGCGTTTTTAATTTAATAAATACTCGAAAAATATCTACATAATAGTGATGTTATATTCACAACGTGCATTATCTTGTTGTTTGCATAACAGCAAAATGGAGAACGTGTACACAGTTGGTAATACGTTACTAAATTTTTTTTTCTAAGTTAAGTTGAATGTTCTGAGTCATACTTAGGTGTTTTTTCACTATTAATCGACACACAGTAATAGGATTTTACATAAAAATATTATACATATTCAAAATGGTAACGAATTTTGTAAAATGCCAATGATGCTTTTTTTGAAAAAGAAAAATCAAGGGTTGATAATGTCACCTCGTCCCTTTTCAAAATTGAGAAAAACACACCAAAACTTTACATGTTTTTAAATTTAAAGCTGTGGCGCGCTATAACTTTTTAAAATTTCTGTATGGAACGTTATTTAGATACATTTTTTAAGCATAGTTTTAGATCTAGAAGGAGGTAATAAAATGTATAAAGTGTTCTCATAATACTGAAGAAAAATTTTGTTTTATTGAAGAAACCCCCCCCCCCCCCGTTTTTTTAAGCTCATTTATTTATCACTACATTGATATCAACACTACAATCACGCCGTATATCGATATAGCATATTACATTATATAGTGTTTCGCAGAAAGGAATAGGTCATTGCTATGAATCTGTACCTTGGGTTTGATTGGGTCAAGTAAATTTAAGTAAGGTCAAGCATAAACTAGTTGCTCTACTAAACCTACAAACTAACACATCTTTCATTGTATATTAAAAAACTGACACTCTTAAGGAAAAAAACAATATGTTATGGCGCATTATAATATTATCTATATATTATTATATTGAGGTCATCCCCTGGCTATGTCCATTATATAATATTCCGGTCTACCTTATTGTGACTTTACAAATAACATTATTATCTCTATACATAGTGAAACGCAGTACATGTAATTATATGTGTAGGTGTTTTTTTTACACAAGAGACGCCTAGTATCAAATTCCATAAAGTCCTCCCCTACCCCTCCTCATCTCTAACACGAGAAAAAATATATTTTTGGTTTTTTTTTTTACAAACTTTAACAAGTCCGTCTTGTGGCTTAATCATTAAAAAAAAACATTTTATTATATTTTACCATTAGCTTATACACAAATTCTTGTCAACATGTCTACAATATTCTTATGAACGTTAAAATGTCGACCAAGTACCAAGTTAGTGTTGACTAAGTGGTAAGAATGCTGTCAGTATTTTTAAAGAAAAAGTCTCCACCCTCTCAAGGGGATGGGGTTTAGATTATTATAGTATTTTAACCCAAAATGATTGTCTGTAGAAATTTGTGAATAATTGAAGCTATTTTGAAAGAGTGTTCAAGTTGAAGTATAAAATGTCAACTTGCAGGGCGTTTTTCTAGATTTTCAAAGGAAATGAGTGGAATTTTTACATCTTAAGAGATATAGTATAGCAATATATTAAAATAAAAAATAGAAAATTGCAAAGCTAAATTGGTTTGTAAGAACCATATTTTTTTATCAGCTCTGCGTCGAACCTAAAATAATTAAATTTTAGGTTGCCTAAATAACAAATGACAAAACCGAACAGCTGTGTAATATTATTTACCATAATAATATGTTCAGTATAAGAATAAGAAAAATCTAATTTTTGTACGTCTACGTTTAAACTTTTTTTTTTTCAGTTTTTCACAACAAAACACATGTTATAAGAGTAATTTTTAAATAAAATAATTTTAATACACTTGACAGTGTTCAATGTTCATGTTTGCGTTTCGTTGCAAAAGTTAAAATTCCATATTGATTTCAAAATTAATTGATTTTTTCAAGTGTCCAAAAGTGACACAAGCAACAATTATTAAAGATTTTTTTTTTTAATTTGTATCTACATTATTCGATTCTCGTTTGCAATATTAAAGTATCATCTTGTATATGCAAATAAATTGCCAATACGTTTATAGGTTTCGGTCGACATACAAAACAGTTCTCTTAAAGACATATTATCGTTGTTAGATACAAAAGTCGAGTTCCTAATTGGACAAGATAAAAAAAAGCACCTTGCCTGGTCTTTGCTATATTTTTGTATATTCGTTTAATCGGTTTTTTTTTAATAATTAAACTTATCTTTAACTAATTTATTCACTCGTTTATTCTGTTTGTATACTAGATCTATTAACTAAAAGTAATCGTTTAATCAATCGTTTACTTGCTGCTCGTTTCACCATTATATTCTATAATTTCCCATTACCATTACAATTCTACCATTCTATTGTACATTTTAGATTAGCTGAAAATTTTAAGATTATTTTATTTTATGGAAACAACTTCCGTATGGATTTGGATAGATATACATTGTTTGATTTTAATTTTGACCCATTAATGACCAAGACTGCATCACCTTAACAAAACAATCAATAACTTATTCTAAAACTTATACCTTATTCACCTATTTAAATGGAATCTTGGTAAAATTGTACCGTGAAGGCGATTTTGAAGTTTTTGAGTATTTTTCAATAAGTTTAACCTGTTTGATTATGTATTTTGTATAATATATTTTTTTTAGATAGTTCAAACATACCAATGAATGGTTATCATACAACAAGTACTCCTAAGAAAACTACTAAATTTATTTAAAAAATGTGAGGGGGAGACCCGTTTTGAAACACACCGACTATTGGGCGAATTCTCTAAGACGTGCATTGCATACTCCTTAGCTAACAACCCCAACCCCCATTCCCTATCCCCTTCCATAATAATGGCCTATTGAATGCCACGTGTCGCGTGGTATGAACTTGATACATTAACTTTAGGCCACCACGTCTATTGTCTAACATACTTAACGTTTTGTACTCGACCGATTGACGCCGTAAATCATATTAGAACCGACTTCGAGACTTCTCATCTCTCTATACGGTTATTTTTCTCCAAAGTTTAGCCACTCTTTGACCTACTGCGTCCGAAATTTAATACTGTCATCAGCTACCTATTACCTGTCGTTCGTCATGTTAAACGCGATTTCCGGATATCGGATTTCGTGATTTTATCATATTACCAAGCGTTGCCTCGTTAGTTGTAAAATATATAAGTACACTGTGCTGCGAATGCTCGCTAGACCTTGGAAATATCGAAGCTAAGAAAACCATTAGGTGGCAAAATTACTCATATCTAAGCTGGACGCTGCTGATATGACCAGAAACAAAAACGAATCATAATTATTGTTGTTAATTGGTCGCTTTGACATAACAATAGTAGAAAAAAAAACCGGTAAAAATTTGAGAACGACACATTTTGACACAACCAAGGTTATTATTATTGCACTTGCTGTGAAATCATCAAATTTAGTTAGTAAATATCCCATATTTCCCTTCAAAAAGCTCTCATGGATTGAATTATGGACATATAATGTTTTCTGGTTAATTATTAAGAGGATCATAAATTTACAGATTCAAATGTGTAATATTTTCTAGAAAATTTGAAAAAAAATTACATATTTTAACCACGTTAGGTTTGATAGCTAACTGATACATGTTTAGTAACAGCTATAAATGTCATGGTATTTTTCTGGTTCACCAAGCAAATGGGTACGAATTTACACAGTAAACATATTAGGCAATCTTCTGTTCTATTTTATTATTATAATTTTTTGATTTCTTTATTCAGCGAGTCTATCCAAACTTGATTTTTTAACTGATGCAACTTTGTTGATCATGACTCTTAT